AATTAAGCACCGATGCCAGGTACAGCTGCCTTCGAGAGCCATGCGGTACGCTCTGAGAAAGCTGCATATTCTCTCTTCCCACCCAGGAATTCCACCTGGAGGCCAAAGCCCTGGAGAAAGCGTTTTCACTTAGCACAAGGCGACACGTATGAGAATATTGTTTGCACCCCTGCTTGAAAGAGCACAATATTGCAGAAACATAAAAAGCCACCTTCAGAAGGACGTACCCATAAAATACAGTATGTCCATACACTAGAATATTCAACATCTCTGCAAAGGAAAGAACTGAGCTCGATGTAACAACACAGATGAAACTCACAAACACAGGGTTGAGCTGGTGAGGACAAAAGCCAGCCGCAGAAGGTCACCGAGGTGATGCTATTTATACAACATTTAAAAACATGCAAGGTGATACTCTATAGCAGTTAGAGATTCATACGTATGTAGCAAAAGTTGTTTATTTTTAAATGAAGACTAACAAACATGTGGTTGGCGATGGTGGTTACCTCTGGGAGAAAAGGAAAGGATTTGGCCTGAGGTGAGTACACAGAGGGTTCCAATTATATTTGAAAAGTTCTGTTCAACTGAACAGTGATGGACACATAGGTGCTCATTATACTATTTAGGATATTTTTGGAGGGTCCGTCCCTGAATTATTCCATCGGCCAGGGAACCAGAGTAGGGGTTTGTGCTGCTGAGTGACCTGGTCAGAGACAATGATGGTTGACACGTGTGACCTGTCTGTGCCTTCGAAAATAATAGTCCCCATATCACAGGTAGATTGTGAGGATTAAATGAGCTTCCTGTACAGGTGTGTAAAGACCCCAGAGCACCGGCTGGCCTGCAGACACCGCCATGAGAGTGCTTGTTGATAATAATCATATCGACAAGCCATGATTTTATTCTGAGTGCTTCGTTTACTGCTTTCATCCATTATTTTATTTAGCAGTATTTATTCAATGTACATATGGACAAAGGGGCTCCGTGGTGCAATAGAAAGAAAAATAGCATTACTGTTGTGAAAACAGGAATGAAGGTAGCCCAGCCTTCAGCACTGTACTGTCGACTGCACCATGATAGCAATTCAGAGCCAAGATTTTAATTTACTAGTTTACCATCTTATCTTTCCAGACAAAACAAATCAATTTAATGTGATCGTTTCCTTTTCCTTTCTTTTTCTTTTGATCTCTTTCTTTGCCCAAGGACGGGGTGGGAGGGCGGGTGGGTTAAGCTGTCAGCTGCACAATCTTTGAGGCATAAGTTAACTTTTATGTGATCTTTCAGTATACGTTTTACTCATTAAATATTGGAAAAAATGTAAAATATATAAATAATTTATGATGTATACTCTACTATATACAATATAATATGGAATATGTGATAGTATATAGTATACATAATACATAGCATAATTATGTATAAGGTAATGTATATTACATTCATTATTATAATATATGCAATATATTATATATTACAAATATATAATATATTATAGGTGTTCAATGTTTCTTTAACAATGACACTCTGAGCAGGACCTGCAATTACTCTCATTTCTTAGGAGGAAACTGAGGCACAGAGGCAGTTGGACACTTGTTGGAGAGCATGCACAGAGCCAGGAGAGGCTCATGAGAGGAGCTCTTGGGGGCTGGCAGGAAGGACACAGGAGGGGACAGGCAGGAGGCCCAGAGGGCAGTTCTCATGAGGGGTGTGTGCGCCCCAGGGCCAGGGCTGGAGCCTCCCCCACCCACACCTGCCTCCGCAGGTCACTCCGGGTGACCCCGCCGGGCAGCGTTGCTAAATGGGGAGGTGCAAAGCTCCCCGGATCATCAGTGAGCCTCTGGGGGGAGGGAGGGGTGCTGGGGAGGGCGGAAGGCCTGCAGCGTGCCCCTCACCCTCCACGCGGGGGACCCAGGTGGCTGGCTTTGCAGCCTGACCTTTGGGCTCCAGCGCAGCAGCTGCTCTGCAGTCCCCGAAGGCCCCCTGCACACGCCATGGCCCCAGGGGAGGAACTCAGCTCCAGCCGGCCACCGGGGGATCTGCTTCACGCAAGCTGCCTGGGCAGGGGACAGAGAGCAGCCTGGAGTCCCCAGATGCTCGGGAATCCTGGCTCTGCCTCTCGCTGGCTGCTGGTCCGTGCCTCCACATCTCTGTGCCTCAGTTTTTCCATCAGCAAATTGGAAACCATCCTTCACTGGCCCAGGGCTTCAGGCAAGACTCCACAAAGTCTTGAATGAATTTTTTTTTTTTCAAAAGGTCCAGGGCCTGGCACCGAATAAGCATTGAATAAATAGTCATCATTGCGTTATTTCATCTTTTTTTTTTTTTTTTTTTTGAGGAGGTAACACGTGCTGTGGGACAAATTGAAATAATACAAAAGACACAGCGATAAAAAGTTCCCCCAAAGCTGTGGGCTGACATTGATTACGGACTCAAGTAAAGCAGCAGCAGAGGACTTATTTGGAAAAATTGGGAAAAATTGAATGCGGTTTGGGTATTAGCTGATTCTAAGGAAATTGCCCATTTTAAGGAATTATCGTTAATGCCGATAGATGTGATTAATAACACGGTTGAGCTGGAAATTTTCCTTTTATAGAGACATAAACCCAAGCATTGGGGCACAAGTTATCATGGTGTCAGTACCTTATTTTATCATTTTTAGCTTTTTATGAGGGAAAATTGCCAGCACGACCAAAAATAAAGAGTAAAAGAAACCCCCTTGTTCTCAATTAACAACGCCCCCCCCACCCCCCACCCCGCCAACTTTCGTTTTCTTTGGCTGGAGTATTTGAAAGCAAACACCAAGTAGCATATCATTTCACGCAAAAGGGTTTCCACAGTCTGTAATTTACTTTAAATACTTCATTTCCCCCAAAGCAAACAAAGCTAAAGTGAATATGGCAAAAAGTCAGCGTTTTTGAAGTCTGGTCAATGGGTTGAAGGGTGCTCCCCACGGCATCCTTTCAACTTTTCTGCATGTTTGCAACTTTTCACAATCAAACCTCAAAAAGTCAAAGAGCAAAGGAAGTTCTCCCTCTGACCACCCCCCCCACCCCGCCCCGGCCCTGCCGGGGTTTCCAGGGGCAACATCGTAGCCAGTTTCCCGGGATCCTTCCAGAGTCTCCGAGACTGTCGTTGCTGTGTTTTTATTAATAGCAGGTTGTAGTAGTGGTGGGGCAGGCGGCAGGGCTGTGAGTCACTCAGAGCTGGCCCAGAGCCTGCCAACACCTCCTCCCACTCCAACCTTATGTAAGGAGATCGGTCTCTGGGAACCTCAGTTTCCTGCTCTGTAAACTGGGGATAAATCCTCACCCTTTTGAGGTGGCGAGGAGGATCCAGTGGAAAGCCCCCCCACCCTTCTGCACAGAGTCAGCTCAGAGCAGTGCCGAATACATGAAAGAAGCTTTTTTCCCCAGGACATCGCTCGGCCATTAGAGATCCTGGGTCTGAGGGAGGAGGGGCTGGGGCCTGGACCCCTGGGTCTGAGGGAGAAGGGGCTGAGGGCCTGGACTCCTGGGTCTGAAGGAGGAGGGGCTGGGGGCCTGGACTCCTGGGTCTGAGGGAGGAGGGGCTGGGGTCTGGACTCTCAGTATTAAGGAGCAGGACTTTGGGAATGGTCTCCTTGTTCCTGGAGGCCAGGACTCCCAGCCCAAGGAGGAAGGTGGAATGAGCAGAGCTGTGGGTCTGCCATCCCAGGTAAGGTATGTGAAGGGACCTGTCCCCCCAGTTCCCACTGCGCTCAGGCCCAGCCCTGGGGGGTTCACAATATGTTTTGTCCCCTCTGTCCTGGGACCAGAGCCCAGAGTCCAAGCTGGTCTAAGTTTGGAAGGGGGAGGGAGGGGGGCAGCGGGTCAGAGGGGGTGAGGGAGGGGTATGGGGGGGACAGGATGTCTCTGAGCTGTCACACACACCCCTGTCCCGGGCCCAGAGAAAGGGAGGGACAAAAGGCTCTGAGAGAAAGTCAGGAACAAAGACAGGAGGAGAGAGACGGAGAGACACTGGGAAGAGCAGACCAGAGTGAGGCAGAGGGGGGAAAGGGAGAAACAGAGAAAGGGGGGAGGGGGAGCAGAGTGCGGGATATCCTGAATGACAGACGGGCAACAACAGTGGGAACAGCGTGGGGACGAGAGAGAGAAGCCAGGGACCAACAGAGACAGGACAGGAAGACCCAGCCTGGGGACCCGAGAGCTAGAACAAGAACAAGACAGAGACGGAGGGCAGTGGAGAGAGACCGAAAGAAAGATAATCACACAGAAGAGACTGAGGGAGGGTACAGAGGAGAAGAAGGGGTGAGAGGGAGCAAACGAATTCAACAGGGTAATACAGAGAGGGACGAAGAGACCCAGAGAGGGAAAGAGAGAGGGGAGGAGTTGGGCACACAAAGTCAGGGAAATCTTTCAACTCTGACAGACACATAGGGAGACCGAGGCAGACCCTTTCAGACGAGCTCCTAGACCTTAGCTCTGCTGAGCGAGGCCCCGTGGGGTGCAGTGGGGCTCGGGTGAGCTTGTTGCTTTTTGGGGAGCCCAGACAAAGGGTGCTTGCCCAAGGGCCAGCCGACACCAGGTGATCCTGAGATGGAGCTCAGGGACCCCGAGAACCACGAGGATGGGGACCCAGAGGTGAGAGATGGGAGCCAGGGGAGAAAGAGACAGAGAGAGGCAGAAATGCAGAAAAATGGAGTCAGAGATAGAGATGGAGAGGGGCAGGGAGCAGACACAGAGAGAAAAATGGAAGAGACAGGAAACAGAGAAGCATCAAAGACCCAGAATAACGCAAACCCGAGGAGACACAGCAAGACCGAGGTCCCCAGAGAAACGGACTCAGACACAAAGAATGGGAAGCACAGGGAGAGAGCAGGACCCAGAGCGGGACGGGCGGAGTGGGGAATTGCGTGGGCTGAGGATGTGGCCCCAGTTGGAGCTGGGGGCTTCTGGTGGCTCCCACAGATGGTGGTGGGCGGGCTCTCTGAGACAATCACCCCAAACCCCGCCAGGACATAAAAACAGGTGGCCCGAGGCTGGGTGAGTCATTGTGACTCATCCTCCTCTCTGGGGACAGTGACCCCGTCCCCTGGTCCCCCATCTCAGCCCTGGGCTGGGCCTCTAATCTCCTGTGCTGCTCTCAGTGGGCCCCAGACTCACCCCCTCCCCACCTCTGTCCCTCTCCTGCAGGAGGACACAGCCACAGCCCTCCAACGGCTCGTGGAGCTGACGGCCACCAGGGTGACCCCAGTGAGAAATCTGCGTCTCCAGTATCGCCTCATCCGAGAGCTCGGCTCTGGCTCCTATGGCCGCGTGCTCCTTGCCCGGCCTCGCCAAGGGGGTGAGTTCAGCCACTAAAGGGCAGACTCCAGGACTTCCTCATAATAGGGTCTCAGAAGCCACCAAGACAAGGAGCATCCCCAGGTGGAGCTGTTGGGGACCCTTCTTGTTGGGGGCTCTCAGAAAGTTAAGAGCGCTGTGATCTTTCAAGAAACAGAGCTCACCCAGAGAGAGTAAGAGACTTGTCTGAGGTCACACAGCAAGGCAGGAGCACAGCTTGGATTGGAATCCAGGTCACCACATCCCCGACTTTATGTGAGAGGAAACTGAGGCCCAGAGAGGGTAAGGCAGCTGTGCAAGGCCACACAGCAGAGCAGGAAGTGTCCTCAGGGAAGGTGGCCTCCAACCCCCACTTCACACAAGGAGAAACTGGAAGCACAGAGAGGTCAGACACTATGCCCTGCCCCTCTTATTTTACACATGAGATGTCTGAGGCTCAGAGAGGTTAAGCGGCTTGCCTAAGGCCCCACAGTAAGATCAGAGCACCTTGAGTTCCCTTCTGTTCCCATCTCCCTGGTAGGTCCAGCTGTGGCTCTGAAGCTCCTGCCTCGGGACTCGGTCCTGAGAACTACCTTCCTAAGAGAGTTCTGTGTGGGCCGCTGCGTCTCGGCACACCCAGGCCTGCTCCAGACCCTGGCGGGACCCCTGCAGACCCCCCGACACTTTGTCTTTGCTCAGGAGTTTGCACCCTTTGGGGATCTCAGCGGGATGCTGCAGGAACGGGTGAGGCTGGGGGCGACAAAGGTTGGGACTGCTTATCCCATGTCCAACTCTGTCCCTCACCCCATTTCTATCTCCAACACTGACCCTCAAATCAGTCTTCAACCCAGCTCCACCCGAAGCCCCAAAACGCCCTCCTGATTTCTAATTCTCAATGCAGTTCCATGCCTAACTCTAACCCTAATCCATCCAACCATCCAAACACAAGCTTGCAGGGGTGGGGAGCTGGGGTTGGGGTTGAGGATGGGTGAGGTCTGATGAAGGGAGTGGGGATGGGATTGGGGTCCGGATGGAGACAGAGCTGAGATTTTCATTAGCATTAGGATTGGGAGTGTGAGCATGGGTGGAGTTGAGTGGGTTGAGCTTAGGGTCGATCATAGATTGGTAACGTGTGTGGAGAAGAGCGTGGATGGGTTTGCAGAGATGGTTGCGGATATGTATATAGATTGGGCTGGAGATGGGCTGTAATGAGGTCCCCTCCAGAAAGGAAACTACGTCGGGAGTGAATCCATGAGATTCTGGGGGTTCTTGAGTTTGAAGATTAGGGTGGGGCCATCTTTAGGAATAGACTTTGGATTTGAGACAGGATTGAGGATAAACAGAAGAAAGGGAGGGTGGGAGAAAGAGGGATGGATGGATGGATGGATGGATGAGTGGAGGAAAGGTGGTTGGATGGATGGATGGGTGGATGGATGAATGAGTGGAGGAAAGGTGGTTGGATGGATGGATGGGTGGATGGACGGATGAGTGGAGGAAAGGTGGTTGGATGGACGGATGGGTGGATGGAGGGATGGACAGGTGAATGGTTGGATGGATGGATACATGCATGAGTGGAGGGAAGGTGGTTGGATGGATGGATGGGTGGATGGAGGGATGGAAGGAAGCAAGGAGGGATGAATGGATGGATGTTGGATATTAAATAACTGAATAAATTATTGGATTGCTGACTGGCTGGTGGAATGGATGTCAAGTGGAAACACTGCTGTATAGACTGTTGGATGGATGGCTGGTTTGATGGATGAATAGATTTATCAATCGATTGATGAAGTAAACAGTAGGACTTTAGAACAAGGTCTGAGCTAGAGACGGGATCTAAATTAGTATGGGCTAAGATTGGAATTAAGTACGGGATTTGGGTTCTCACTGGCCATCTGGGTGGTCAGTTTAGAGGAGATAAGAAATATAAGGAGTGGGCATGATTTATTAGGGTTAGGGGAAAGTTTGACGGAAGCTGCAAGAGCTTCTGGTTAGGTTTGGGGTTCCAGTGAGGAAGATAGCCGGGGGTTGATCTATGGGAGTACAGATGTGGGTGCAGGTTGTGGTTGAGGATGATCTGGAGGTGTTGGGGGGATGTCATGGGGCCACTAGAGGTAGCCACTGTTCTGGGCTTCTGGGTTCTTGAACGCCAAGAAGCAAAATTGAGAAGGAACCAGGGCACCCTGACCTTCACCCTCTCTCCTTGACCCCAGGGCCTCCCAGAGCTGCTGGTGAAGCGGGTGGTGGCCCAGCTGGCCGGAGCCCTGGACTTCCTCCACGGCCGGGGGCTGGTCCACGCAGACGTCAAGCCAGACAACGTGCTGGTCTTTGACCCTGTCTGCAGCCGTGTGGCCCTCGGTGACCTGGGTCTGACTCGGCCTGAGGGCAGTCCAACCCCTGCCCCCCCAGGGCCTCTGCCCTCTGCTCCACCTGAGCTCTGCCTCCTGCTGCCACCAGACACCCTGCCCCTGCGACCAGCAGTGGACTCCTGGGGCCTGGGAGTGCTTCTCTTCTGTGCTGCCACTGCCTGCTTCCCTTGGGAAGTGGCACTGGCCCCTGACCCCGAGTTCGAGGCCTTTGCTGGCTGGATGACCAGCAGGCCCCAGCCAGCTCAACCACCACCCCCTTGGGACCAGTTTGCATCCCCAGCTCTGGCATTGCTTCAGGGGCTTCTGGACCTGGATCCTGAGACTAGGAGCCCCCCACTGGCTGTCCTGGACTTCTTGGGGGATGATTGGGGGTTGGAGAGGAACAGAGAGGGACCTGGGGGCTTGGGGAGTATGTCCAGTGAGAATGGGGAGGAGGAAGAGGAGGGGGCAGCAAGCCTGGAGGAGTGGACAGAGGAGGAGGAGGAGGACGACGACAAAGGTGGCAGGATGATGGGGACAGATGGGGGAGCTCCCTGACCAGGTGGCTGAGACAGGTGGCCAGAGCCTCGGCCAAAGTCCCCTCCCCCAGCCCCATGGCCACCTGGATAGGAAGACAGCTGCTCCCAAGAGGACAGAAATGGAACACATTGCATCTCTCCCTACTGAAGGCTGGACTGGGATACACAATTCCCCTCTTGACTGAGGACCCCGGAGTCCCAGACCCCCTGCCCCTCCCCAGTCAAACCCAGGGGTCTTAGTCCCCTCCTCCCTCAAGAACCTTTCCTCTTCCTTCTGCCCAGAATGTGTCTTCTTGAGTGAAGGCGCTGTTCCCCCTACAGATGCATTTCCGCACTGCGGGAACATGTTGAGTGCTCATCATGGAGTTCTGATAGAGTCACCCCTCTCTTCCAAGACCTTGGACGACTCCCGCTGTCCGTAGCACCAAATTTGGGCTTTCAGGATCCAACACTATGGAAACCTTGCCCTCTGCCTCTCCCGTTTCCCTGGGCTCTGGATGACTGGGGAGTCACTCATCCTTTCTGGACCTAAATTTACACACACATGCACACACACACACACACGCACATGTGCACACACATACATGCACACACATGCACGTGCACACACATACACATGCACACACGCATACATGCACATACACGCATGTGCACTCTCCCACTTGCAGATGTTTGCACATCCTGTGTCGTCCCCTGAGCACACCTTCCTCACGGCTCCGTGCCTCCAGAAATTGGCCCCGCCCCCACCCCCTCTCCCGCCGTGTCAGGAATGCGTATCTGAGTGATCCGTGTCTCCATCTTTTTTCCATCTCCGCTCTCAGGCTGTCCAGACTGGACATGGTCTTTCTCATTTCCACATGCTTTTAGGTTCTGCTCCCACATGGCAGGCACCCTGTACCTACCCACTTGCTGAGAGCACAGAGCACACGGCGTGTGATTGTCCCAGCTCCCTGTGCCCCTCAGACCCATCTGTGCTGGGGGCCTCGGCTGATTTGGATGCATCTCATATCGCCCTGTGCCACCGCCGTCACAGCACGGGTGCCCCTGACTTGTGGTGCTTCCTGCCTGTGGGACAGGGGCTGCGTGGGTCCCACACCATGTTCCCATCACCTGGCACAGGGTCAGAAATGGGGAACTGTGCTTCCTCCACAGGGATCTGCCCTACCTGCTTTCTCGAGGTAAAAAAGCGAGTTCATTAAGTGCCACCTGGTCTCTGGGTTGGACGCTGGGACAGAAAAAGGCTGTGGCTGGAAGCACGGGTGAAACCAGAAGAGCCCAGCATTTGATGGTGAATTTCTTAGTTTGGACAAATGTCCCACTGGCTGCATGAGATAGTCACCTGCGAGGAGCTGGGTGAGGAGACCCAGAGCTCTCAGCATGGTCTCTGCCGTGGTTTTATAAACCTAAACCTATTCTGAAATAAAAAGCTTATTTAAAAAGAACCAAATGAGTTCACATCAGTCATCTCCCTGTAAACATGAGGGGTGAGTGCAGGCCCTCTATACCCCTAGCCTCCTCCCTCAGACCCAGGGGTCCAGGCCCCCAGGCCCTCCTCCCTCAGAGCTGGGAGTCCTTGCCCAGCAGCCCCCCTCCATTGAAGTCTACAAACCCAGAACATGGGCCGCCCTCCCTTCTCCCTCTCCCCTCAAGCCCCTCTTCCCAGTTGCTCCACCACCTGCTTCCCCTCCGCCCCAAGTCTGAGATCATCTCTCACTGCATCGTTCTGGAATCTCGTTGTCTCATCCTTTCCCCAAACAGGACCCCAGTGTCTTGTCCCCTGGACATCCCTTATGGAACACTTGCGTCTGACCTGTCAATGGAGCATTGATTGGGCAGTTTGGTGGGGTCAAGGCAAGGGCCAGCTAGAAAATGATTTCATCCTGTACAGGGGGCCTCGACTCCTGGGTCTGAGGGAGGAGGGGCTGGGGGCCTGGACTCCTGGGTCTGAGGGAGGAGGGGCTGGGGGCCTGGACTCCTGGGTCTGAGGGAGGAGGGGCTGGGGGCCTGGACTCCTGGGTCTGAGGGAGGAGGGGCTGGGGGCCTGGACTCCTGGGTCTGAGGGAGGAGGAACCCAGCTCCTGGGACTGGGACATTTGTCTGGCCACAGCCAGTTCTAGGAGTCAACGCACGATGTCGCTCTGCCCCGAGTGGGGTAGAAGGGGCGGGGCCAAGGGCGGGGCTTGGGACCCCTAGGTGGGGGCGGGGTCTTGCTCCTGGGCAGGCCTCTGCTGGCATGGGCTCTAAGTGCCGGGCACTGACCACAGCAGGCAGCGAAGGGTCAGGCAAGCCTTGAAGAAGGTGAGGTCTGGAGGTCGAAACCCAGGTCAGGAGGAGACAAAGGTTAAACGGCCTGAGGTGGGCAGCACCTGAGAGTGAATCCAGGCAGGTGGTCAGAGACCTGGGTCCCTAAGGGGAGCAGGAGCTGGACCTTGAGGCTGTAGAGTGGTTGAGTGTTAGGGACACATATTCTGGGGGTCACTAGATGTGTGAGTTGTATAAGGTTCCAGGAGAGTGGTGGGCTGGGGGACCGAACTCCTGAGTGTGAGGGAGGAGGGGCTGGGGGCCTGGATTCCTGGGTCTGAGGGAGGAGGGGCTGGGGACCTGGACCCCTGGGTCTGAGGGAGGAGGGCCTGGGGGCCCAGACCCCTGGTTCTGAGGGAGGAGGTGCGGGGGTTGTAAGAGTTGGACCATAGGCCTCTCAAGGGCTTGGTGACCGCTCCCAAGTGCTTGCCCCCATCCAGGCCCAGGCGTTGCCTCAGGCTAGTGTGGCCAACCGCCCTCTCTGGCCTCTGGGGGCAGAGAGCACCTGTTTGCTCTTTGGAGACAGAAGCTACTCACCCACCCCCAGGGCCCAAGTCTGTTTGCTTTGGAAACAAGGTGGGGGGTGTCTCAAGTTATCTGGTTCATCTTTCACCCTTGGGCCATCAGTTGGCCCAGGGATGTGGGGGCGGGGGCAAGGGACATCTGTGACTTCAGGCTTGACCTCACCCCAACCAGCAACTGACTAGTCTCTCCACTCCTCAGATGCCTCTAATGAAGAGGGAAACTGAGTCACAATGGCAAGTGCCACTGAGCCCCCAGCCCCTCCTCTCTCAGACCCAGGAGCCCGGGCCCCCAGCCCCTCCTCCCATGGGCCCTGGTCTTGCGGTCCCTGGGCCCTGGGTCACCTTCTCTCCTCTGTCCTTGCAGAGATGCCCGGCAAACAGTCAGATGAGGAACAGGTGGCGGCGGGGGCTGCAGAGAATGGAACTGAGGAGGACCTGGGGGGCCTCACAGCAGAGGAGCTCCGGCAGGGCCAGGAGGCAGCCCTGGCGCTGGAGGACATGATGGCACTTAGCACCCAGACCCTGGTGCGAGCCGAAGTGGATGAGCTCTACCAGCAAGTGCGACCCCTAGGCCAGGGCCGCTTTGGCCGGGTCCTGTTGGTCAACCACCGTCAGAAAGGTACCAGGGTCGGGGCAGGCTGAGTGGCGCAGGGGTTAAGTTCGCATGTTCCGCTTCTTGGTGGCCCGGGGTTCACCGGTTCAGATCCCAGGTGCGGACGTGGCACTGCTTGGCACACCATGCTGTGGCAGGCATCCCACAGATAAAGTAGAGGAAGATGGTCACGGATGTTAGCTCAGGGCCAGTCTTCCTCGGCAAAAAAAGGAGGATTGGCAGTAGTTAGCTTAGGGCTAATCTTCCTCAAAAAAAAAAAAAGAAAGGTACCAGAGCCTGGGAACAGAGGTGGAAAGTGCAGAGGGCGGTGGCCTGGGCCCAGGAGGAAACTCATCAAGGCTGGGGGGTCTGCTGCAAACCTGAATCAAGTCGTGCCTCTGCCCCTTCTGGCTGTGTGTTCTTGGGAACTCCCCTCACCTCTCTGAGCCTCAGCTTCCCACTTTGAAAATGTGGGTGACGATCCTTTCTCTGAAAGAACTGTGATTCTCTGAGCATATGTCAAAGGCTCTGTTGGCTGGGGACAATGGGGAACAAGACAGAGTCCCCCCTCATGGCCCTCACATGTGGCGGCTTAGTGGTCACCATGGGGCTGATTCAGGGCCATGCTGTCTGCAAGGCCGGTGCACAGCGGGTGTGCAGGACATGTTCCCCAAGCCCCAGTCTCGTGCCTTTCTGTCAAGCCTGCACACACCCTCCGTCCTTCCCACGAAGCAGGGACACTACTGGTGGAACTCAGAGTCAGCATCAGTTCAGGACACACCTTCCGCAGCCACCAGGGCACTCAGACCTGGCCTGGGTCATGCTGGGGACCCAGAGATGAATCTGTCAGCCCTGCCTGCAAGCAGGAGCTCCCGGTGTGCATCGGGAGAAAGGGTGTGTTAATTTGCTACGGCCGCCATGACGGAGCCCACAGGCGGGGCAGCTTAAACAACAGGAGTGGGTTCTCTCACAGTCCTGGAGGCTGCACGTCCGAGACCGAGGCGTCAGCAGGGTTGGTTTCTCCTGAGGCCTCTCTCCGTGGCTTGTAGGTGACCACCTTCTCCCTGTGTCCTTACAAGGTCTTCCCCATGTGCATGTCTGTGTCCAGATTTCCTCTTTTCATAAGGACACCAGTCATATGGACAAAGGTCCACCCCAGTGACCTCGTTTTACCTCTTTCAAAACCCTATCTCTGGGGCCAGCCCAGTGGTGCAGCAGTTAAGTTCGCACATTCTGCTTCGGTGGTCCAGGGTTCGCAGGTTCAGATCTTGGGTACGGACCTACACACCCCTCGCCAAGCCATGCTATGGCAGCGTCCCACATACAAAATAGAGGAGGGTTGCCACAGATGTTAGCTCAGGGACAATCTTCCTCACCAAACCCCCCCCCCCAAAAAAAAACCTATCTCCAAATACAGTCTTATTCTGTGACACTGGGGGTGAGGACTTCAGCATATGAATTTGAGGGGACACAATTCAGCCCAGAATAGTCGAGAGATGCAAACAGAGAGAGATCCAGACCCAGGTCATCACATAACTCGGAGGCAGAGTGAGGCCGGGGGGCGGAGGCGTCGTACGGGGGCCGCGTCCACTCGTGCTTCGCTTGATACGTCTGGAGGCCTCCCGAACGCCCGGCCCTGCGCTGGGTGCTGCTGGGGCCTGAAGATGCAGCCGCCCGTGAGGGGCTCACGGAATGGTGGGGAGCGCAGAGGACAGAGAGCATCAAGACAGAGGCGGCCTGTGCCCTGATGGCCGGGATCCGGGGCATTGTAGACGCTTAAAAGAAGCCATGCTGCGTCCTGCTGGGGTGAAAGGGGAAAGGTCAGCATTTCAGGGAAGGAGGTGACCTCTCTCTGTCACACACGACCTCCTGATGGGCGAGCTTGGGCCCTGGCCACTGGTGACTAAAGAAATTGAAGAAACCAGAGTTCCTGCCTTTGGGGGGCTTCCTTTCCACACATGACAAAACTGGTAATAATTCCTTAATTGGGCCTCATACCTAGTGCAGGCTGTCTTTTCCTCAATTGCCTGAAACATGGCTTTTTGGCATGGGTTTGCAGGAACAATGGACCAAACTGGGCCATTGGAGGTTCTGAGTTCAGTTTTCGCAGTATCCTTCCATTCGCTCTAAGACGGCAGACGTAAGGGAGCAGGGTAGAAACTCACTAAATGCAGTTATTATTATTACTAATTATTATTGGGACCAGTGGTGTTTTGGTCGCCATGCTGTTTTCAGGGTGGCCTTGGTAGAGACGCAGGGGTGGGAGGAGGAGGAGGGGGCTTATGGGAGAGTCCAGGTTGAGGGGCCACAAGGGCGACCCGTGGCCCTGGCACCCCTCCCACACCTGCCCCTGCTGCCCCCAGGCACGCCCATGGCCCTGAAGCAGCTCCCGAAGGCCTCCACTTCCCTCCGCGCCTTCCTCTATGAGTTCTGTGTGGGCCTCTCGCTGGGCACGCATCCGGCCATCGTAGCGGCCTACGGCATTGGCATCGAGTCAGCCAACTCCTACAGCTTCTTGACGGAGCCTGTCCTGCATGGGGACCTCATCGCCTTCATCCAGCCCAAGGTGAGTAGGCGGGTCGTGAGCAGGCCTCTGAGAGCCTCATGGGGTCTCACAGAGACGCCCATGAGCGACCTGGGCCTCAGGAACCACACCCACTGCGTTGGGCCTCACCAGGCCTCACATAGCCCCCCAGAGCCCCTCACTGGGCAGGTAGGTCTCACAGAATTGTTAGTCCTCTCTGGGGTCCACTGACACCACAGGACCAGCACTACACCCTACAAGATTCATCAGCCCTCATGGGGTGACACTAGATCCCGTGGGGCTCACAGGCCCCATAAGGTCATATTAGGCCTCACTCTGGTTCACTGGGCCCCGTAAGGTCACACTAGGCCTCATTAGGCTTCATGGGGCCACACTAGGCCTTACTGGGGCTTGCAGCCTCACAAGGTCACAGTAGGCCTCTCCCTGGCACATTGGGCCTCAGGGGGTCCTACGGCCTCACCGGGCCTCACAGGTCACACTAGACCTCATTGGGGCTCACTGGGTCTCATGGGGTCCTCACTAGGGCACACAGACCTCACTGGGTCACACTAGGCCTCACCCTGGCTCACTGGGCTTCACTGGGCCTCATGGGGTCACACTGGTCCTCATTGGGCCTCCGTGGGGCCACCTATTTGAGGTCCTTCACTCTCCTGGGACTGCTCCCTGGGGCTGAGGAGAAGCTGTATGGCCCCAGGCCCCTGCTGGCTGGCTGGGGTCGGGGGCTCGCAGGCCCTGACGCCTCTCCCCCACAGGTGGGCCTCCCGCAGGCAGCAGCCCAGCGCTGCGCAGCCCAGCTGGCCTCGGCCCTGGAGCACATTCACTCACACGGCCTGGTGTACCGGGACCTCAAGCCGGAGAACGTGCTGGTGTGCGACCTGGCCTGCCAGCAGGTCAAGCTGACCGACTTCGGCCACACGCGGCCCCGTGGGACTCTGCTCCGCCTAGCCGGGCCACCCATCCCCTACACGGCCCCGGAGCTCTGCGGCCCCCCGCCCCTCCCCGAGGGCCTGCCCATCCAGCCCGCCCTGGACGCCTGGGCTCTGGGCGTCCTGCTCTTCTGCCTTCTCACCGGCTACTTTCCCTGGGACCAGCCCCTGGCCGAGGCCGACCCCTTCTATGAGGACTTCGTCATCTGGCAGGCCTCGGGCCAGCCTGAGGACAGGCCACAGCCCTGGCGCGGCCTGACGCCCGTGGCCGACACTCTGCTCTGGGGGCTGCTGGACCCTCAGCCCCGAAAGAGGAGCCCTGTGAGCTCCGTGCGGGGCTACCTGGGGCGGCCCTGGCGGCAGCGTGAGGGGGAGGCAGAGGAGGTGTACACCGGGGACGAAGAGGACAGAGAGTGAGGAGGCCGGGCCGGCCCAGGCCCACTCGCCCAGGAGACTCGCAAGGGGAGCCGGGGCCACATCCTGAGGCCTCCTCGGTGCTCACATGGTGGCTTTTGGCCTCTTTCTGCCTATTTTCATCTCTGTTTCATTATTTCCCCCTTTTCGTCTTGGGTGTCTCCCAGTCAGTGGACTGTCTCCCTCCCTTGGGCTGTGAGGCCACTGGGAACTGGGTGGCTACCCCACTGTCCCCTCCTCCCCAGGGCCCCTGCCTGCAGTCTCTTGGCTCCTTCCCTCACCTCCTGTGGACCCTACTCCTCAGCCGCCCCCCTGGCACCCCAACCACCTGGGCTCTCCTCTCCCTTCCTCGGGGTCACTCCCTCTCTGCCCGCTGCGCAGTTTATTCAGCGGGGTCATTTTGCGGGTCCTGCAGGAATGTGAGCTTGTGGGGGCAGCGTCCCGGCCTGTCCTCTTCTCTGACGAGTCCTCCCTCCGTGGCTGAGCCACCCCGGCCCTGAGTGGGTGGTCAGTAAATGCTTGTTCAGTAGCCCAGCCCAGCTGGTTTTGCGCCGCCTCCCTCCGCATCCCTCCTCCTCTTCTCTCTTGCTGGGTGCCACTCGCCCCCTCTACCCTTTCTCTTCCTCCCACATGCTGGGCCACCGCCCTCTTGATAATGTGCTTTCTCTTCTCTCAGCCCGGCCGTTCTCTGCAAATAAAGTCCGTCTGGCACTGAGGTCCCCGTGATGCTGCTGGTCTGTCAGCTGGGAAAGAGAAGGATGGTGTGTTCCTGTGTGTGCACGGGAGAGTGTGCTGTGGAGGAGGGATGGAGCAGGAGAGTGAGCAAGAGGGAGGGAGAGACAGAGAGAGGGAGGGAGGGAGAGACAGAGAGAGAGATGGAGGGAGGGAGAGACAGAGAGAGAGATGGAGGGAGGGAGAGACAGAGAGAGAGATGGAGGGAGGGAGAGACAGAGAGAGACACACAGAGAGAAAGAGAGAGACAGAAAGGATGGCAGAAAAACGGTCCCCATGTGCGATGACACGAGGCGCTGGCTCTGGGTGTGAGTTTGTGGTTGTGCCTGGGAGTGAGTGTAGCTGCTTGTGTCAGGGTTGTTAGTGCCTATTTCTGCACGTACATGTGTGTGTGAGGAGGATTAACCACCAGAGCTTGACCGTGTCCAGATGTTCACGGGCAGGAAGTGGAGCTGGATCAGAGCGTGTACTTCTGTGTGTTTGTGTGTCCGTGAGCATCTGTGCCCCTGTGTGTAGCAGGGCAGGTGTGTATGTGGGGGGGACAGTGAGGGTCTGAATGCATCTCTCCCATGTGGCTGACATGATTGTGTGTGTTGTGTGTCTGAGTGTCCAAGGCCATGTGTGCTTATATAACTGTGAGCGTGTGTGTGTGTGTGTGTGTGTGTGAGAGAGAGAGAGAGAGTGGGGGGGGGGGGAGCGGCAGTTTGAGTGCCTCTCACCGTGTGGACACCGGATCCGTGTTTGTGTGTCTACAAGGCCTTGGGTGCCCGTGTGTGCAGCTGGGGGGGGCAGTGGTGCAGGCGCCGCTGCCATCCCAGTGGCCCCTCTCTCCCTCACACCTCCCCCCTCACACCCCGGCCCCTTCTTGGCAGCCGCCTGTTTGCAAACACTCTCTCTTCCTCTCTGTGCCCTCCTTGGCAGCCAGCCCGGAGCAAGGCCACAACTCAGAGCCGGATCATGTGTCACTCCTCCCTGGCCCCCACAGCCCCCCAGGGCCCCTGCTGTGGCCACCGAGGTGTTGCCTGGGGGGGGGGCAGCATGTGTGGCATGACCCCTAGGACCTCTTGAATCTAGGTTCCACCCAGAGAACTGGGTACATGGTCCCCTGTCCTGGGCGATCCAGGAGAGCTGCCTGGAGTAAGGGGTCATTGGAGGGAATAGGATGGGGCGGTGCAGAAGGGGAAGCATGATCGGGACCTCCTGCCGCCTCACCTGGGATTCTGAAACAGCCGGAGCAATTAAGCCAAGAATGTGTCTCCAAAAAAGCTGGAAGTGGCTGGGATGAGGGTGGCACTGGGAGAGGGGAGGGGAGATGAGCAGGGGGTGCGGGAGGTGGCAGAGGGTGTTAATTGGTGGCAGCAGCTGAGGATTAACTTCAAGGTGATAACGACCCAGGGAGGGGCCCAGCGTAGCAGAGGAGGCCGAGAATTCCCAGGAAGGGCCTGGGGGGCAGGCAGCACTAATCAGGTATTACGGACTTAATTCAGTAATACCTAACACTAACCGGAATACTTAACACTGACGAAGCACTCGCTCCTCACTGGGCAGCAGAGGTGTGGCTCCGAGCCCTCACGGCAGGTCGGGGCAGAGCAGGAATTTGAACCCAGGGTGGCTCCTGCCCAGGGCGCGCGCTGTTCACTGCAGGTGTCCTGCTGCCATAAGTGGGTGAGGGGGCTTTGGGAGGGGGCCAGGGAGTGTGGGAGTGTGTGTGACCACGTGAGTGTGTGAGTGTGAGAGACTAGGTGAGAGTGAGTGTGTGAGTGTGAGAGAGTAAGAGTGAGCCTGTGTGAGGGTGAGTGTGTGTGAGATTGAGTGTGAGACTGTGAGTGCATGAGCATGAGTGTGAGAATGTGACAGTGTGAGTGTCGACGTGAGAGTGTGAGAATATGAGTGTGAGTGTGAATATAAGAGTGTATGAGAATGAGTGTGCATGTGTGTGAGTGTGAGTTGTGTGCATGAGAGTAGGGTATGAGTATGAATATGAGGGAGTGAGTGTATGAATCTGTGAGAGTTTGACTGTGTGGGTGTGTGTGAGTGAATGTGAGGGAGTGCGTGAGTGTGAGTGTGTGCGAGTTTGAGTGTGGGAGTGTGCATGAGAGTTGAATGTAAGGGAGTATGAGTGTGAATGAGTGTGTGAATGTGAGTGTGAGAGTGAATTGAGTGTGTGTGTGTGATTGTGAAGGTGTGCATTGGGAGTGTGAATATAAGGGAGTGTAAGTTTGAAGAAGTGTGTGCAAGTGTGTGTGGGAGACTGTGAGCGGAGGTGGGAGAGTTGTGCGAGCATGTTTGTGTGTGGGTGAGGTGATCGCCCCTAATGAAGACAGAAAAGGGAGGCAGCAAAGCCCTTTGGACCCAGCCAATGGCTGTCATCAGACTACAGACATACCACATGTTGGGACGATGTGGAGACCTGGGAAGCTGCAGCCGCTGGCGGAAGGTAAAGCGGGGCAGCCACTGTGGAAGACAGTCTGGTAGCTCCTCAGAATGACAGACAGAGTTTCCATGTGGCCCAGCAATTCCACTCCTAGGTATATACCCAGGAGAAATAAAAACATGCATACACACAAATATTCATGGCACAATTGCCAAAAAGCAGGAACCACCCAGCTGTCTATCTGCTGACAAATGGATAAAGGAAATGTGCTCCATCCATTCAATGGAATATTACTCAGCCATGAAAAGGAAGCACACACTGACACACACTGCATCTTGGATGAACCTCAAAAGCATCATGCAAAGGGAAAGAAGCCAGACATGGAAGATGACCTATTACAGGATTCCATTTATATGACATGTCCAGAATAGGCAAATCCACAAAGGAAGGAAGATTAGTGACTGCCAGGAGTGGGGCTGCTGGGGAGAAATAGGGAGTTACTGAGAATCAGTACAGCTCTTCTTTTGGGGGTGATGGTGGTGGAAATGTTCTAAAATTAGATTGCAGTCAGTGTCGCACAATTCTCTGAGTATACCAAAAACCATGGAACTGTACACATAAAAGGGTGAATTTTATGGCATGTAGATTTTATCTACATGAGGCTGCTTAAAAAAAAACCCAGGCGTTTCCCAGGTTCTCACGCTGTGACGTGATCAAGGTCCTTTCCTTCTCTGAGCCTCTGAAGTCCCATTTAAAAGAAAAGGGATGAAAAACCCTGCCGTCCTTCTAAAGGCTCTGAATTCAGGACCTATTCATCATCAACTAAGTCCTCAGACACAGGACCCCCTGGCTCCTCCTCCCTCCATTTCATAGACCAGACCACTAAGGCCCTGACAGGGGCCCCACTTTCCACGATCCTCAAGCCAAAAGGTGTCAGAGTCTGGATTCAAACCCAGCTCTGGTCCAATTCCAAAGTCTTTGTTCTTCATCCCCTACAGGATACCTGGGTCTGTGATTTCCAAGAAAGTTCTGGCTTCTCCCCCGTGCTGGGGAACCCCAATCAGGACCAGTTACAAAATTTGTGGGTGTCCCTCAATGGGCAAAAACTGAACGCCATCCCCCTGAAAACAGGAAAGAGACAAGGATGCCCTCTATCACCACTCTTATTTAACATAGTCCTGGAGGTCCTGGCCAGAGCAATCAGGCAAGAAAAAGGAATAAAAGGAATCCAAATAGGGAGGGAAGAAGTGAAACTCTCGCTGTTTGCAGACGACATGATCTTATATATAGAAAACCCCAAAGAATCCATTGGAAAACTCTTAGAAGTAATCAACAACTACAGCAAAGTTGCCGGGTACAAAATCAATTTGCATAAATCAGTAGCATTTCTATACTCCAATAACGAACTAACAGAAAAAGAACTCAAGACCACAATACCATTCACGATCGCAACAAAAAGAATAAAATACCTTGGGGTAAATTTAACTAAGGAAGTGAAGGACCTATACAATGAAAATTACAAGGCCTTTCTGAGAGAATTGGATGATGACATAAGGAGATGGAGAGACATTCCATGTACATGGATTGGAAGAATAAACATAGTTAAAATGGCCGTTCTACCTAAAGCAATCTACAGATTCAACACCATCCCAATCAGAATCCCAATGACATTCTTTACAGAATTAGAACGAAGAATCCTAAAATTCATATGGGGCAACAAAAGACCCCGAATTTCTAAAGCAATCCTGAGAAAAAAGAACAAAATGGGAGGCATCACAATCCCTGACTTCAAAACACACTACAAAGCTACAGTAATCAAAACAGCATGGTACTGGTACAAAAACAGGTGCACAGATCAATGGAACAGAATTGAAAGCCCAGAAATAAAACCACACATCTATGGACAGCTTATCTTTGACAAAGGAGCTGAGGGCATACAATGGAGAAAAGAAAGTCTTTTCAACAAATGGTGCTGGTAAAACTGGAAAGCCACATGTAAAAGAATGAAAATTGACCATTCTTTTTCACCATTCACCAAAATAAACTCAAAATGGATCAAAGACCTAAAGGTGAGACCTGAAACCATAAGGCTTCTGAAGAAAACGTAGGCAGTACACTCTTTGCCATCAGTATTAAAAGGATCTTTTCAGACACCATGCCTTCTCAGAGAAGTGAAACAATAGAAAGAATCAACAAATGGGACTTCATCAGACTAAAGAGCTTCTTCAAGGCAAATGAAAACAGGATTGAAACAAAAAAACAACCCACTAACTGGGAAAAAATATTTGCAAGTCATATATCTGACAAAGGCTTAATATCCATAATATATAAAGAACTCTCACAACTCAACAACAAAAAAAATCAAACAACCCAATTAAAAAATGGGCTGGAGACATGAACAGACATTCCTCCAAAGAAGATATACGGATGGTCAATAGGCACATGAAAAGATGCTCACCATCGCTGATCATCAGGGAAATGCAAATCAAAACTACACTAAGATATCACCTTACACCCGTTAGAATGACAAAAATGTCTAAAACTAATAGTAACAAATGTTGGAGAGGTTGTGGAGAAAAAGGAACCCTCATCCACTGCTGGTGGGAATGCAAACTGGTGCAGCCACCATGGAAAACAGTATGGAGATTCCTCAAAAAATTAAAAATAGAACTACCATACGATGCAGCCATCCCACTACTGGGTATCTATCCAAAGAGCTTGAAGTCAGCAATCCCAAAAGTCTTATGTACCCCAGTGTTCACTGCAGCATTATTTACAATAGCCAAGACATGGAAGCAACCTAAGTGCCCATCAACAGATGAATGGATAAAGAAGATGTGGTACATATATACAATGGAATACTACTCAGCTGCAAAACAGAACAAAATCATTCCATTTGCAATAACATGGATGGACCTTGAGGGAATTATGTTAAGTGAAATAAGCCAGCTAGAGAAGGATAATCTGTGTATGACTCCACTCACATGAGGAATTTAAAAATGTGCACTAAGAGAACAGTTTAGTGGATACCAGGGGAAAGGTGGGGTGGGGGGTGGGCACAAAGGGTGAAGTGGTGCACCTACAACACGAATGACAAACATTAATGTACAACTGAAATTTCATAAGATTGTAACCTATCATTAACTCAATAAAAAAAATAAAATAAAAAAATTTGTGGGTGTCCAGTGCAAAAGGTAAATGTGCATTTTTTTGTTAAAAAACAAAACAAAAACAGAAAAGAAGCTTATTGCAGGAATCTGACCACCAGAACCCACACCGGGAAGGCAGAGCTGGCATTGGCCAAGGCCCTGGGGGCCCGGAGCGTGCCTCATTGTCCCATTGACTTCACTTACACAACACAAACTCAACCATCACGAAGAAGGTCAGGATGGCCCCGCAGAGCACCAACCCTGTGCAGCTGCCCCCGACCCACGCACTGCTGTGGGGACAGAGCTGACCTGGGACCCAGAAGGGGTCCCGCCTCGCAAGGCCTCTGTCCACCACAGCGTTTGCCATAGTTCAGCTTCAGCCCGTTGCCAGTGTACAGATATGCAAATAAGGTGAGCAGCGATCCCAGACTTGAAGCGCCACCCACGGGTCCCCGGCCCATCTTGTCAAAACACACTTTCTGATCCAGTGGGTCTGGGGCAGCACCTGAGGCTCTGCATTGCTAACCAGCTCCCAGGCCGACGCTTCCAGTCCACGGGTCGCACTTTGAGGTGCAAGAAACTGTGAGATCAGGGTTTTACAGTATTGGTCTCGCATCCCAGCTAAACTTATTAATGCTGAACATTTGCTTGATTCCTCAGGGTTTTTATGTCGACACTCATATCGCCCGCAGGAAATGACGGATCTGCGTCTTCCTTTCCACCCTTTAGCTGACTAAGGAAGTCCCCTCTGCTCCTACTCTCCTAAGAGTCTGTGTGTGCATGCGTGTGCGTGTGTCTGCAAACCGTAAATAGGTGTTGAATTTTGCCAAATGTTTTTTCTGCATCAGGCAAGCTTCCTAGGCCTCTGCGGCTACTGTTCTGGGCTTGTTGCAAGCTGGCGGACACCGGATCAGGCTCAGACGTCCTGTGGGAGATGTCCGGGTTCAGGGCCAGCAGTAGGTGGGGCTGGCCACCCATTCTGGCCTCGAGCCCTGGGGCCAGATGTCTGGGCTTAGCTGCCTGGCCAAGCAGGGAGAGAGTGACCAGATAATTAAGCACCCATTTCTGCAGGGCTGGCAGAAGGTGGCTGAGGGTGGAGGGACCTTGGGCCAGAGTGCTCGATAGCACCCCCAACCCTGGCTAAGAGAGGGGCCAGGAGCCTGAACCCCCAGTGGGACCCTCTGGGGGGACCTGGAGCTGGGGATCACCTGCTTCTGCCTGGAAATGGGAAAGAAGACCTTTTGCTTCCAAGTTGGGGTGCCATCCTCTGAGCCCTCCGTGACCCAGACGGCAAGGGGACTGCAGGCAGAAGCTCTCCCCTCACCCTCCCCAGGTCACTAGTCAGCAGTTATTTAAGTCTTGGGGCTTAATGAGATCTCGGGGACAGAGAATTCTCTGTGTGCTCCTTTGCCTATTGGCAGGGGCAGACAGTCCAACTTTCAGGACCCCCAGACATTACCCCTGCCCCCATAGCAAGTAACTGGACCTTGCTGGCCTTTGCAGGACTGTGGGGGCGCCAGCTCTATGACCTTCCAGGACCTCTGAGCCAGGCTCTAGTCTGGGGAGAGGAGGAGGGGACAATTTCCTGCCTGAGGCTGTAGGAGACAGAATCAGAGTCCGGGAGCCAGCCCCCAGTTTACGAGCCAATGCCCAGAGAGAGAAGGGGGCCCACCCAAGGTCACTCAGAGGGGCCATCATGGAAGTGATGACCTGGAACCCCAGGCCAAGGTCGAAACAGAGGAATTTGCATCACATTATCTTGAGTCTGGGCTCTGCTGTGTAGCCTTAGGGAAAGGGCTTGCCCTCTCTGAGCTTCAGTGCCCTTTCTGAACAGCGATCAAGTTCCTCCCTCCAGGGCTGTGGTAAGGACGGGACGTAGCGTGTTAAGAGTCCACACTGCGTCAGGCACAGAAGAGCACAGTCAGGAGTGGTCACAATCACTCTCGTTAACTGAGCGCAGCCTACGTGCTGGGCTCTGTCCTCACCCGCACTGACTCATCCAATCCTCAGGACAACCCCAGGAGGCAGGTACTATTGCTACCCGCATTGCACAGGCGAGAAAACAGGCTCAGAGAAAGGAAATAAACTGCCAGAGTCCCACAGCCAGGACGTGGCCTCAAACCCAGGACAGTCTGATGTGGGCACCTCATATCTTAGGAGCAAGGGCGCTGCGTGAGGCAGGCCTGGGACGTGATCCAACCTCCATGCGTCTCCAGGCCCCGATCTGTGAAAGGGGGATGAGCAGTAACTATCACATGATGAGCACATATCAAGAGCCAGGCCTAAGCAGGACTAAGCACTCCTGCACTCGAATTAATCAGTTAATCACCATGGCAACCCCGTGAGGTCTATACTACTATAACCCCCTTTCATCGCTGGGCAAACTGACCAAGAAGTTGAGCGGCTCAGGTTCACGCCCACAGGACTCAAACTCCGGCACGCGGGCTGCAATGCAAAGCTCACGCCCTCCCTGCTGAGCTGTGGTAATAGTACCCTCCCCGGCGGGCGTTCACGAAGGTAAAATGACATCATGCACGCAAAGCCCTTAAAACAGAGGCTGACCCATAGGGAGTGCCCAACAAATATTAGTCATTATTATTATTATTACGCACTCATTCAGAAGATATTTATGGATTATGCACTCTGTGTCAGGCTCTGTTCTAAGAGCTGGGCTTGTGTCTGTGAACAAGACAAAGACTTCTGCCCTCATGGGGCTTCATCCTTGCTGTCATCACCGCCATCATGATCATCACCACCATCACCATCATGATCACCTTCATCAGCATCATCTCCATCATTGCTATCATCATCACCATCATGACCAGCACCACCATGGTCATCTTCATCACCATCATCTCCATCATCATCATCATCACAATCGCCATCATGATCACCACTATGATCTTCATCATCATCTCCATGATCATCTTCCTCACCATCATCACCATTACCATCACCATCATGATCATCAACAAGATTTTCATCATCATCATCATCATCACCACCATCACCATCATTACCACCATCATCCTCACCATCATAATCACCATCACCTTCATGCTCATCACCACTACCACCATCATCCTCATCACCCTGCATGATGCCTGTGGTATTCACAAAAAGATCAATCTTGTGATTCCATCTTTCCAGGGTTCCCCTAGTCCCCCAGAAACATCATTCACATCTTGTTTTTAATTAGATACTTTGGTTTTCCTTTTTTTGGTTGGGAGTGTGTTAAGCCCCTCAAATTCCAGATAGGGTCACACATCTCCCCTCAGAGGCCTCTCTTCCTCCTCTGGGGTAGTGGTGATTGGTGCAGCTGTGCTGGGGGGCCAGGCCACCTCTGCCAGTCTCTTCATAACCTCACCCAGCTGCCCCAGACCCTGGGCAGCCTCCACTAGCTGGTTCAGGCCCAGTCCCAGGGCTTGGCGCTCCTGCTGGTCCCGCTCCAGGGCCTGCGTCAGCCTCTGCAGTTGGCCACTCACGTCCCTCACAGCGGCCACTAGCTCTACCAGGGCAGGTGGCTCACAAGCCATGACCCTTACAGGTGGCACTGGGACCACACATGGGCCAAGGGGGCCTGGGCCCTGACCAGGGGTTGGCCCTAGGGTGAGGTGGTCAGGAGGAGGTTGATCCAAGGGGTGGGCCACGGGGGACAGCTGGAGGTCAGGGGTCACAGTGGGGTCTGAGGCTGAGTGTGGGGTCTGGGTAGGTGGAGGAGTTAGTTTGGGGCTCTGGCTTCTGGGTGGTTTGAAGTCCTCAGTGGCTGGTGTGTCCACGCCTGGGGCTGGAGAGGACCTGGAGAGGCTGGACTCTGAGGATGGAGAGGACTCTAGGCTCAACATCTGGGATGTGGAGGGGTGAGGGGCCCCCATGGAGGTGAACCGGGGGTGCAGGCTGGGTTGGTCTGTTGGTGCCGGAGTAGGAAAGGGAAGTTCTGTTCCCAAGGAAGTCAGAAGGGACTTGGTAGTGATCATAGGGGTTGAAGTGAGGTCAGGAGTCATAGTGGAGTCAGTAGTGATGGTGGGTTGGGTAGTGATGGTGGGGTGAGTAGTGATGGTGGGGTGAGGGGTCGTGGCTGGGTAAGGAGTTGTGATGGGGTGAGGGGTTGTGGTGGGTTGAGAGGTGGTAGCAGAATAAGAGGTCATGGTGGAGTGAGGGGTTATGGCTGGGTGAGGGCTCGTGGTGGGGTGAGAGGTCATGGTGGAGTAAGGGATCATGGTAGAGTAAGGGGTGGTGGTGGGGTAAGGAGTGGTGGTGTGGTGCGGGGTTGTGGTGGAGTGAGGAGTTGTGGTGGGGTGAGGGCTCGTGGTAGGGTAAGAGGTCATGGTGGAGTGAGTGGCCATGGTGGAGTGAGGGGTCATGGTGGAATAAGGAGTCACGGTGGGGTGAGGGGTCGTGGTGGGGTGAGGGGTTGAGGTAGAGTAATGAGTCGTCGTGGGGTGAGGGGTTGTGGTGGAGTAAGGGGTCATGGTGGGGTAAGAAGTCATGGTGGGGTGAGAGATTAAGGTGGAGTGAGGTGTCGTGGTGGAGTGAAGGGAGGTGGTAGGGTGAGAGATCATGATGGAGTGAGAGGTCATAGGGGAGTGACGGGTTGTGATGGAGTAAAGGGTCGTGGTGGGGTGAGAGGTTGTGGTGGGGTGAGAGGTCATGGTGGAGTGAGGGGTCGTGGTGGGATGAAGGGTGGTAGTGGGGTGAGGACTCGTGGAGGTGTCTGGGGATCTGGAATGTTCTGGGACCATGACAGGGTATGGAGTTGTGTCCCTGCCTGGGGTCGTGTCAGATTCTGGGGTCAGCTCTGAGGTAGGGGAAAGGTGGGTCACCACTGCCGGTGCAGAGGGATCAGACGTCAGTTCTTTAGGCGAGGTGGGTGGTGGGGTGGGTGAGAGCTCAGGGGTCAGCGATGGAACCGCGGTGGCGTCAGGGGTGGACAAAGTAAGGCCAGAGGTTGTCAAGGTGAGGTGAGAGTTCATCCAGGAGGCCGGGTCTGGGCTGGGTGGCAAAGTGCCAGGAGGGTGAGAGGTCACCTCCGGCGTTAAAGCTGCATCGGGGACGAGCTCTGGCGCCGAGTCGGGGGTCAGCGGCGGACGCGGGGGTCCGGGAGGGGCGGAGGGAGCTGGGCAGGGGGCGCGGGGCGCTGGCCTGGCCGCCGTGGGCCGCAGCAGCCGGCGGGGGAGCCACAGCTTCCTCGCGCAACCTGGAGGGGGAAAGATGGACGGCGGAGGTCAGCTTGCCCCGCCCATCCCGCGGCTCGCCCCGCCCCCAGGGTGGACCGACCAATGGGAAGGCGCATCGCCTCGTGACGTCATGGTCACCGGCAGACTTCAACCAGCCCTAGTGGACCCACCTCCCCGCCTCCTCCGATGTCTCCCGGCGCCACCTGGCGTCCTCCGTTACTGGAGCATGCCGGGCTGAGCAAGGTGGGGAGCGGCGGGAACGTGGAGGGGTACCGGGGATGTGGGAGGGGGCGGAAACGTGGGGGGATGCAGGATGGCGAGGGTCGGGGGGAGGTGCCCCATGCGGGGTTTAAAGGGTTTGGAAGCGCAGGGGAGGATACGGGGAATGTGCAGAAGGGGATGTGCGGGCGTGGGGAGAAGCTGGGATGCGGGGAGGTGCTGAGGAAGCAGGAGGGGGTGGACGGAGAAGGATGTGGGAGGTTGCCGGAAGATGCCGAATCCTGGTGGGGGGGATGCAATAGGATGCGGAAGTGTGCAGGATGAGAAGGGAAGGGGGGTGTGCCGAGGGTGCTGGGGATGCGGGAAGGTTCAGAAAGCTAATCTCAGAAATCTGAATATCCTTATGCTGTATTTTTAAACAATCAAAATTAATGCAAGATACACGATGAACAAAAAGTCAACATTTTAACCCAAGATAGGATGGGGCAGAGCAGGAATTAGGGTGAGTCCAGTGAGGTGGGTCAGATCCTGCTTTTAGTTTAAATTTTGATATTTAGTTCATCGTGGATTTTTTTTTTTTTGCCTTACTTTTGATTTTTAAACTATTGTATTGAGATTTATTTACTTGACTACTGAGTATTTTGGCGCTCCGTGAACTTCGGGACCTGTGTAGAGTGAGACGCCTCACCCTCTCCCTGCCCTGCTTCCAGGTAAGTGCGAATTTTAACCTGTTTTTACAGATGAGGGAAATCAGGCCAAGAGGGTAACTTGCCTGAGGTCACACAGACACAGTTCGCAAGTTGCAGGGACAAGATTTGAACCCAAGTCCTTTGCATCCAGAGTCTAGGCCGTTAAGTATCAGGTTCTCAGTGATGGCAATGTTCTGTGCTGTCCAGTAAGGTAGTCACTGGCCACATGAGCGCTTGAAATGTGGCTGGTTCAACTAAGGAACTGAATGTTTCCTTTTGCAAGGTTTTGATTCATTTAAATTTACATGGCCACCTGTGTTGGTGGCTGCCCTAGTGAAGGGCACAGCTGTAGAGGGTGCCACTTGTGCCTGTAGGGTCTTTGAGGCGCATCCCAAGAAGCAGTTAAGTACAGGGCTTGGTCCCCACCCAGGCTGCCTGGGTTTAAACCCCGGCTTTGTCGCCTCCTAGCTGGGTGACCGTGGCAAGTTACTTAGCTGCTTTGAATCTCAGTTCCTTCCCCATCTGCAAACCATGGATGATCCAGGTACCTCCCTTGTGGGGTCGGCATTGAGGGTGCGGGGAGATCGAGTGTGTGCAGAGCCCTTAGCAGAATGCCTCGCATGGAATAAGCACTCCTGTGATTATTAATATTATCATACTCATTGATGTCTGTGCCTCCATTTCTCTCATCTGTGAAATGGCATGATAATAGCATCTACGTCAAAGGGCTCATGTGGAGTAATATATAGAAAGTGCTTGAAATAGTGCCTGACACCTGGTAGACTGCTTGGAAAAGGTTAACTGTTTTTAATTATTATTTCAAGGATCTCAGCTTAGTTAGCTATGGTAGGGGCTCAGAGACTACAGTGGTATGGATTTTTAATTTTTCAGATCCAAGGTGCAGAGATAACTCTTGTCATCAACAGTTCCTGAAATGTCTCCTCTTGTTTTATTTTAATTTTTCTCCTCTTTATCCCCAATCTCCATCCCCCCAATCCTCTCCCACAGGTATCACCACTAATATGATTGACATATGTCTTTAAGTAGAGGTATGTCCTTATATAATATAGAATGCATATATGTTAATATATGTGTATGTATATTTTTGTGATTGTGCTTTTAATTTTTGCTAATAACATTCTGTTAGAAATCTCGTTCTATTTTTGACTTTTTCCTTCATCGTTATGTTGTTAATATCTATCCATGTTGCTGTGTATACAGCTAGTCGTTGCTTTAGCTTCTGCATAAAAGTTCATCATGTGCACCCACTGGATTTCTCTTATTCGTTACCCTGCTTTAGGACACTTAACTTGCCTTCAATTTCCTGAGAATACAATGTTCCCAAGAACATCCTCATATATGTCCCCTCATAAGCCCGTGCAAGAATTTCTCTGGAATACAGATCAAACAGCAGGATTGCTGGGTCGTAATTTATAATCATCTTTAATTTCACTAAATATTGCCAGCTTATTTTTATCAAATCACTATATCCAGTGGGGATGCCTGTCTCCCACATCCTCACCCACACTTGGTATTATCTACCTTTCAAAATTATTTTCCATGTTTGTCATCGTTTTAATTTGAATTTTCTGGTTCCTTATGAGTGTGAGGGTTTCTCATTGGCCTTCTGCAAATGATCACCTGTTGATCCCCTTTACCCATTCTCTCATAGGGTTTCCTGTCATTTTCATATTGATTGGCCAGAGTGACTTGCATGGTACAGGGTAGAGTTCTCAACCTGGGCACTGTTGACATTGGGGGCTGGATGATTCTTTGCTGTGGGGGGACATCCTGTCACACTATAGGATGTGTGACCTCCCTCGCCTCCACCCATTAGGTGCCAGTAGCCTCCCTGACCCCAATCGTTACGATCTAAAATGTCTTCAGATATTGCCAGTCACCCCCAGCTGAGGACGACTGGCGTAGACAATAACCCCTTGCTTTAGGATGTATTTCTGTTGGGTCCCCACTGGGGAATTTGGAGTCCATCTCTCTACCCTACCACACAAACATCTTAGGCCTATCACCCCAACCACGTGCCTCACCTGTGTCCCCACGGACCCTTGGAACTGGAGAGGCGTGGCCTGGGCTCCTGGTGGTGCCAGTGGTAAGAGTGGGTCCAGGTATGCCTGCAGTGGGGGTCCCCTTGGCCAGGGCTCCTCCTGAAAGTGCGTCCCATGTCCAGGAAGGCTCATAATCATCCTCGTCACCTTGAAAGACATGGGGAGAAACGAGAGTCACTTCCCCTTGAATTTGACCCTCCGCTCCCGCTGGGCCCCGCTCAGGCTGCATCCTGTCTCAGCTGGAGCTCCCCGTCTCCTCCCTGACCTCGCAGCTGCCTGGCGATCCGGGGTCATGTTCTCGCCTCCCAAAAACAGAAACTGGGACTCCACTAGCGGATAAAATGAGGACAGATATTATTTCAACTTCCTGACGTCCCTGCCCCTGCTCATCCTTTATTTTACCCCAGAAAAAAAAAAAACCCCTATAATATCTTTATTACTAAACTCCCAGGAACATTTCTCTACTATTACTTTTCCTATGGTTTTTGAATGAATACACTTGGATGATCTACATGACAAAAATTTTATATAACATATAAACTTATCATACATAATACACATATATCACTTAATATATGGAGAAGAAACATATAGCTCAGCCTTCAAGCTTGGTCGATCAAAAAACTTATTCTAACAGTAGCTTTGTCGACACATAATTTACACACCTTAAATTCACCTACTTAAAGTGGACAATTCAGTGGATTTTAGTCTATTCACAAGGTTGTGAGACCATCACCACAATCAAAATTAAGGACATTTTCATCACCCCAACAAGAAACTCTGTACCCATTACCTGGTCTTTCTTACTCACCTCAATCACCTCCCCAACTTCCTGCGACCATGTCCCCCCACGCTGACCCTAGAGGCCTCTTTCTTTTTATTTATTTTATTTTTATTTTATTTTTTATGAGGAACATTAGCCCCGAGCTAACATCTGCCGCCAATCTTCCTCTTTTTGCTGAGGAAGACTGGCCCTGAGCTATCATCCGTGCCCATCTTCCTCTACTTTATATGTGGGATGGCTGCCACAGCATGGCTTGACAAGCGGTGCCATGTCCACACCTGGGATCCAGACCCACGAACCCTGGGCCGCTGAAGCAGAACGTGTGCACTTAACCGCTGTGCCACCAGCCAGCCCCTAGAGGCCTCTTTCCAACACAGCGACCTGCCACTGCCCCACCCTGCCCCAAACCTCTCCATGAGTCCCCACTGCCCGCAGCACAAAGTCCACGTCCCTCATCTTCCTTCATAATCTGCCCCGGGCACCTCTCCAGCATCACCTGACCACGTCTCCCTTCTCACAACGCGCTGCTCCCGTCGGAGCCCTCACTGTGAGGCGTCCCCACCCAGCCCTGCATGCCTTGGAGTCTCTGCCCACAAAGTCACCCCGCCTGGACTCCCTGCCCCTCCATCTGCCATCCACGGGAGCCCGTTAAGACATTGTCCTGCTCTGCACGCAAAACCAGGCAGAAGGACGGCGTGCGAGACACTGGGCATGTTTGTCTCGGTCACTTTGAGCTCTGTGGTTAGCCATCCCAACGGCAGAAATCCCTTGCTCTGTCCTCTGCTAGCATGTTACCTGGTAACACAACAAGGGTCGGTTTTCGCCCTGACACCTGGCACTGTGGACACCTCCGTCACGCCTTCATGTCACTAACTGTTCTTAATTAAATACCTTCCCCAGGCCTCTTAAATGACTTCACAGGATAACTATGAAATCCTACCCAATGGCCATATTCCTTAGGACTTTAAAAACCCTTAGCAGCACTATTCATTATAAAACAAAAAATGGGGAAAAGCCCATGAGCAGTGATCACTAAAGCTTCCTTCCCAAGATGCCAGGTTTCAGGAGGACTCGGTTAAGAACCCAAATCGAAGCTGTCCTCCTGTCAGGCTGTCAGCAGGCACACTCCCTGCTTCTGTGTGTGCTTGAGATGCACTCTGGGATACAGCCACATGCTCGTGGTCCAGTGGTATGGGATCCATTCCATTTTTCCATTAAAATATACATTTTTTTAAAAGGCAGCAGCATTGCAGAGTTACAGCCCTTGCGACGTCCCCTCCGTCCCTTCTCTTCATCAGAGAGCTGCTGCCTGAAATTCAGCTTCTCCTTCCCAAGCACGTGTCACACCGTAATGACACACAGCAGGCAGGACCCCTTGACGCCACGTTGCTCCTCCACGCCCGGCTTCTACAGCTGGTGCGAGGCTGTGCGCGAGCACAGACACACCGCAGACATCCTCTCCCCGCTTGCTCTCTGGCTGCAGCCCTTCCTAGCTGGGGGAGCAAGTCATTTCACTTCTCCACGACTCAGTTTCCTCACCTGTGAAGTGGGTATCATGATGGCATCTACTCCATGGGGTCCCAGGGCCTGGCACACAATAAGCTATTCTTTGAATTAAATATATATAACCCTAGTTTCTTCTTTTTAACCTCTGCATAATATTCTACCATCCGAACATACAACCATTCATCTATCTATGTCCCTGTCGACGGGCGGGGAGGTTGTGGTGATGTTTTGCTGTCACAAATACGGCGGCAGTGAACTTGTACCTGTGTGCCAGGGCTCCTGAGTGAGAACCCCTCAACACCTAATTGCGGGATTGCTGCGTGGAAGGCATGTGCACCTCCCTTGAGGTTGTCAAGCTGCCCTCCTCATTAGGTGCGGAGTCTCACGCCCACTTTTGTCCCACATCCTTGGTGCTGTCAGACAGTTTAATTTTTGGCAATCTCTCGGGAAGACGGTAGGTGGAGAAGCTGCAGTTTCACTACAGATGACCACACCGAAGCCCAGAGAGGGCAAGGAGCTTTCCCAAGGTCACACAGCTAAGGGGCAGCATTAGGCTTCAGCCCCAGGCAGGTCTACCTGGTTCTAAACGGGTGCAGATCTCCCAAGGCTGACCCCACTCCCCTGGTGAGCTTTTATTCCCCTTTAGGATTTGAGTCAAAGGCTACTCCCTTATCCCCCTCAACGAGGTCATGCCCTGCTGTCTGCTTCCTGGGTTTTCCAGAGCTAACTCTGTCACGTGCTCCTTCCCAGTGTCCGTGGCAGGAGCAGTTAAAAGTGTGAACCCTGGAGTCTGAACCCAAGCTCTGCCCCTTGCTCTCCTGACCTCCCTGTACCTCGATCTCCTTATCTGTAAGATGGGAGCAAGGACAGATTCCGTGGGGAGGAGGGGAGTTAAACCCAGTGATGTGCTCAGACGGCGCCTGGCACATGGAGAGTTTTCAACGAGTATTAGCTATTATCACTGTTATCCTCATCATCCAACCTCTCAATTTAATTTTCCATTTACTCTTGGATCCCTTCCCCTCTGTGTGACCTCATGCAGCCACAACAGACAGCGATACCCCAAATCCATGAGTCATCCACCCGCCAGGCCGCGTGTGGGAACTCCATTAGACACGGTTCTCCTTCTGCAGAGCCTCGTCCATTCCCACAGCTTCAGATTCCATCCTGTCCATTTATAGCTCAGCCCGGGCGCTCCTCAGAGCCGCAGGGCCGCATAGCTAATGTCTGCACTTGCCTGTGTCAGACGCATCACCAATGGAGCCGTTAATGTCCCCATCTGGAGCCTGTTCGCCCACCCCACAGTGTCCCCCGATCCAGGAAAAGGCAGGTCCCCATCTCCCACTTCCCTCTCCTCACCCCTGATCCAACCCACCACTCGACCCCATCAGCTCAACTCCCAGAATATGACTGGAACACGTCCACTTCTCTCTCAGTCTCCACTGCCACCCTGGTCGAGGCCACTGTCACCTCTCCATGGACCTCCCAGTCTCCCTGCACGCATTCTTGCTCCAATATCTGTTCCCCATGCGGCATCCTGAGGGACTGCTTCGGAAACGCACATGCAAGCTGGTCCTCCCTAGTTCAAAATGCTCCACCCAGGGCCTCTCACTGCACAGAGAATAAAACACAGACTCTGGACTCTCCTCCTATCACTGTCCCCTGCCTGGCTCACTCCACTGCAGCCCCACTGGTGTCCTGACCGTTCTTCCAAGGTCCCACCACAGGGCCTTTGCATGTGCTGCTGACCCTCTGCCTAAACTGCTCTTTCAGCTCCCTCCAGGCTCCCCATCACAGCAGACATCTTTATAATGGCCCACAGACAGTTCCTGCCATCATCCCCGTCAACAACTCCACTTCAGCCCCACTGACCTCGCTGCTGTTTCTTGAACCAGCTAAGCTTCACCTCCTTTACACTCTCTCTGGACTTACACTGTGACCTGTCATTCATCCACTCCCACCTCAGGGCCTTTGCACATGCTGTTCCCTCTATATGGCACACTCTCCAGCCAGATATTTGGACGGCTTTCTCCCTCTCTCCTCCTTGAGGTTGTCACTTAAATGGCACTTTCTCAGTAAGGTGTCTCTCGACTTTTTCTTTCTCCTTCTCTCTCTCTCTCTCTCTCTCTCTTTCTTTCTTTCTTTCTTTCTTTCTTTCTTTCTTTCTTTTTATTTATTTAGAGGAAGATTAACCCTGAGCTAACTACTGCCAATCCTCCTCTTTTTGCTGAGGAAGACTGGCCCTGAGCTAACATCCGTGCCCATCTTCTTCTACTTTATATGTAGGACGCCTACCACAGCATGGCTTTTGCCAAATGGTGCCATGTCTGCACCTGGGATCCGAACCGGCAAACCCCGGGCCACCAAGAAGCAGAACGTGCGCACTTAACTGCTGTGCCACCAAGCCGGACCCCTCGACCATTCTATTTTAAATTGCAACCCTCAGCCTCTCTTTCTCCCTCCCTTGCTCTGCTCATCAGCTATGTTCCTAGGGGTTAGTACCCAGGCCTGCCACACAGCAGGCATTTGAAACATGAATTAATGTCTGCATCTCCAAATTCTATCGTCTGGGCAGCCTCAAGAAATGTGGCTTCCATGAACTAGAAAGTGAAAACGCAAACTTCATGAGCCTCCAGCTTCACCTCCTTTACACTCCCTCTGGACTTACACTGTGACCTGTCATTCATCCACTCATTCAACAAATATGTAGGAAGTCTCTACCGAGTCTACAGCACAGATCCTGTGGAAGACAGAATAACGCTCCCCCAAAGACGTCCACACCCCAAGCCCCAGAACCTGTCTATATGCTGCCTTATGTGGTAAAGGGGATTGCGCAGATGTGATGAACATCCATACTTTGCGATGAAGAGATTATCCTGTATTATCCAAGCGGGCCCAAACTAAAGACACAAATCCTTAAAATTAGAGAACTCTTCCCAGCTGTAGTGACAGAAAAACATGCGAAGACAGAAGGAGGGCCAGAGAGATGTAACGTGGCTGGCTTTGAAGACGGAGGAAGGGGCCACGAGCCAAGGAATGCAGGGGTCTCTAGAAGCTGGAAAAGGCAAAGGAACAGATTCTCCCCTGGGCCTCCACAGGGAACACAGACCCGCAGACACCTTGGTTTTTGCCCAGTGAGACCCCTGTCAGACTTCTGACCTACACAACTGCAACATAAGAAGTCTGTGTTGTTCCAAGCCGCTTACCATGTAGCGACGTATTATGGCAGCAGAAACTGATACAGCTAAACACATGATGGAGATAAAGTCTAGCGGAGACGACAGTGCCCTCGAGTGGCAGTGCAATTTTCTCAGCTCCACCCTCTGCTCCTCTGAGAATCCCCTTCCTCCTGGTCTCTCCTGGTGGAAATCATACTGTCTCCTCCATGAGGTCTTTCCCAATTGCACTGCATGAAATAATCACTCCATCCCCGGGATCCTGCAGCTGTTGTTAATTTACGGTAAATAACTCTCAACAACCAATGTTTTGCGGTTTTAAACAATTTCACACACATTTTGCTCACTGGATTGGGACCTCAGGTCACCCAGCTAGTTCTAATCCCGGTGGAGCCACTCCTGGAACCCGGGGAGTGGGACTCCAGAACTCACGCTTGAAATTACTTCAGCAATTCAGTAATCTTTCCCAATCCGATGAGGCAAATGTGTGCGAAATCGTTTCAAATGGATCTCAGTCGTGGCTCCTGAATTAAAGTCTAACTACTCTAAGCCTCATTTTTTTCTCCACCTGAAACACAGATGTAACAACAGGACTGGGCCCGCCCGTGGCCCAGTAGTTAAGTTGGCACACGCGGCTTTGGTGGCCCAGGGTTTCGCTGGTTCGGATCCTGGGCGTGGACATGGTGTCACTCATCAAGCCATGTTGAGGCAGCGTCCCACATGCCACAACTAGAAGGACCCACAACTAAAAATACACAACTATGTACTGGGGGGATTTGGGAGAAAAAGGAAAAATAAAATCTTAAAACAACAGGACCTGCGTCACCCAGTTCTTGGAATCATGCGCTCCTAGCGCAAAGTGAGCTCTTTTTGACTCCTTCCAGGAACCACGGAGCTCTGCTTTTTTCAGCAGAGGAAACTGAGGCTCACAGACGTGGAGTCATTTTTTTCAAGGTCACCTTGCCAGCGAGGATAGAAATTCATGTCCGTCATTTCTCCCACTCCCACCCCGCCCCCCCCCGCCCCTCCTCCGAGTCCTCCCGTTATTAAGGTTGTAGGTGTGACTGTCCTGAGATTCCCCTTGCGCAGTTGGTAGCTGCGCGCTTATTTGCGCTCCTGCGCTGCCTTTCCGACCAGGAAGGGGCTCCCGGAGCGGCCGGCCGCCCTCCTGGCCACCGTGCCCAGCATCTGACCGTCTCCGCCACGAGGGGGCGCTACGGGATAGGGCGGCAGCGCCGGCGGCAGAGAGCACAGGTTCTGGCATCCCGGCTACACTGCACCGAGGACCATCCCCTCTGCACACTGGGCCGGATGAGCCCTAACTCACAATTTGGGTTCCCCCACCTCCCGCCAAGATTGCGGCGCTTCCAGGGCCTGCTCCTCTGCTCCCCTTCCCGCAGCGGGAGCCCGGCCCCCGGGACACTCATCCGTCCTGTGGGACCTCGGCGCGCTCCACCGGCCTTCACTCCCGTGGGCGGGGCCAGCCAGCCAATCAGGAGGCGCAGAGCGCGCGCGGCGTCACAAGGCGCTAGGCAGATTGACTCCCGCCCCTCCATCCTCCGCCCGGCCCCTCTCGCCGAGGCACCGGAGTGCGCACGCGTGCTGAGCACGCCGAAAGGGCGGGAAAGGGCGATAGAGGTGCGGGACGGTCCCGAACGGATGCAGAGGCGGCGCGCGTCTCCGGGGAGGACGCGCAGAGGGGCGCGGGGTGACAGAGCGGAACCGGGACATTCGGGGGGGTAGAGGGAGACGCAGAGAGGTGGGGGGAGAGGCACGGCTGGTGCGACAGGCGGAGAGGGAGCAGAAACGGCGACGCCGGGCCTGCGGGAGAGAGGGAGGCGGGAGGAAGGGGTCGGAGCCCCCTGCGAGACAGAGGGGAGGGAGGGCGGGCTGGGGGCTGGAGAAGCACGGGGAGAGACAGAGAAGGGAGAAGGAGAGCAGCTCGGGGGGAGGGAGGAGGGAGACGAGGAGTGAAGGAACAGACGATGGGGCCGACAGGGCCCGGAAAACAGAGGGACAAGGAGGACGGTGAGAGACTGCCCTGACCGTGAAAACACCGAGCGACAGCGATGACCGGGGGAGCCAGGGAAAGTAAGAGGAAAAAGAGACTCAGGGAGGGGAAAGAGAGAGAAACTGATGTGAAACACCCAGAGAGGAACAGAGACCAGCGGGGTGAGCAGAGGTAGTGACGTGGAGGGAGAGTGGGCTGTGAGGAAGGGGCAGAGGAGGATGGAGACCTGAGCCGTGGTGCAGGGAGGGGACAGAGATGAGCCACGCACACAGACGCAGACACACACACCGACACAAACACACACACAGATACACAGACACACAGGCACACACGTTCACAGGGACTTGAGGAGGGCAGGACACGGAAACTGGCGCGAGAATGCTCCGGTGGCGGCAACATGGGGCTGAGGCGGGTGGAGGCCCCAAGTGTGGCAGCAGAGATGGAAGGAGAGAGGTGACAGCGAGACAGAGGCCACGGAGCAGAGGGGGACAGAGCTGTGGGGCTGGAAGCCACCAAGCCACCCCGCTGGCCAGGGGAAGGGGGTCAGTCTGGGGACAGCCAGGAGACAGACGGGTTAGGGAGAGAACCCTCGATCCAGGGGTCCCCGCCCCGCCTCTGAGCCACAGCCTAACCCAGATGAGAGCGCAAACTGCGAGAACTGGTCTGGGGGAGCTGGGGTGGGAGTGACCACGTGGTGACAGAGTGGGCCTGGGCCGGGGGTCTGGGGGGCTGTCTGGCGAGGCTCTGGTCCGAGGGGCACAGGCTCATGTGTCCTGAACGATTCCTGGGGGACCACAGCAGGTGTTCGGGAGGACTATGGACTCAGGTGTTGCAGAGCCTGGTCTGATCCTGGAGACACACAGGGGTCTCCTCCTCCAGGGTCTGGAGGAGAGTGTTGCAGTCCAGCCCAAAGAGAGACCGTTTTTAGGGTCTCTGGAGCCAAATACAACCCTGTCCGGGTCTCTGAGACCCAGGCCAGCCCATTTAGGAGGGTCTTTCGGGGGGGGCCCTGCAGGGAGATCCCCCCCGGCCATGCCCTCACCTGTGCCTGGAAGGCGCCTGGCTGCTGGGGAGGAGGCCCCTGGCCTCCCAGTGCTGGCCGAGGAGAGAGTGTGTCCAGACGGCCCTGCAGCGGTGGTCCCCTTGGCCAGGTCCTCTCCCGAGGTGGGGTCCCAGGTCCAGGGGGGATAATCCTCCTCGTCTGCGTGGCCTTGGGAGAAGCGGGTGAAGAGTTGAGCCCCATGCCCCCAGCGGTCTCAGAGGCCCTTCCTGATGGTCCGAGCTCCCCTTCCAGAATCTCCAGAGACTCTGGGTCCCCATGCGGCGGCCCCCGCCCCCCGCCATCCCTGGTACCAGTGCAGGTGAGCCCCACGTCTTCCTCGTGGTCACAGTTGTGCTGTCCCCACAGCCTGGCAGGGCAGTCACTCAGCGAGGCCTCGCTTCCCTTGCAGCCCACGTCGTCCAGCCAGATGGGCCCGGTCCCCGGGCCATAGTGGGTTTTGCCCACCCGGGGCCGGATCCTTCCACAGCCCAGCTCCCAGCAGGCCACCGTGCCATCCCGCAGGTCCCAGTTGTCATCGCACACTGTCCCCCAGCGTCCAGCATGCCACACCTCCAGCCGGCCGGCACACCGGTTGGGCCCATCGGCCAGACGAACCCGGAAGAGGCCTGCGTGGGGAGGAAGGCCCCAGGTCAGGGCGTCAGCAGGGGTCAGCCTCGCCCCTCCCCATTCCCTCCACTCACCAGAGCCCCCGGCCATGCTCCCAGTGGGAGAGGGGGCTGGGTCTCTGGATGACTCTGGAGAACCTTCTGCTGGGATCTCGGCCGATGGCTCCATGGAGGCCTGAGGCATTCGCTTGCTGGGGGCCTCGGAGGTCACTTCCCAGGGGCCTTGAGTGGTCGGCGTTGCCATGGTCTTAGAGGTCCGTTCTCGGGGGGCCCGGGGAGTGCGCGTGGCAGTGGTGTGTGAGGTCAGCCTGGGGGGGGCCTCTGAGGTCAGGGTTGTGGTGGTGCGTGAGGTCAGTTCAGGGGCACCCTGAGTGCCCGGGGCCCTGGCGTGTTTAGTGGTTGGCATCACAGGGGGCTGAGTGGTTGGTCTCTTTGCAGTTTTGGTCACCCACTTCTTAGTGCTCTTGGGCACTTTCCCTGGGGCCTTGGTGGTGGTTTTCTCGGGGACACTGGGGGTCAGCCTTGCAGAGGGCTTGGTGGCCAGCTCCCCCAGGGGCCAGGCATCCGGATCTCTCCCCAGGCCAGGGATCCAACTCCAGCTGAAGGGGTCTGAGATGGAGTCCAGGCCAGGGGTCCCTGGAAGGCGGGAGAGGAGGACAGAGAAGATGGCAGACACCATGATGCCAGGCTCGTCCATCCAGGCCTCCCCTCTCATCACTCCTCTACAGTCAATCACCATGTTCCCATTCATTCATTCTTTCTTTGTTCCTTATTCACTCATTCATGTCACAAACATTTATTGGGCATCTCCTGGGAGCCAGGCACTGTGCCAGACCCTGGCAATGCTGTGTCAGTGCAACCCGACACTGTCCCCTGCCTTCAGGGCACTTACAATTGTGATGTGACAGGCCCCCCTTGGCCCCCTCACACCCAACCAGTCCTCTCCATCTCCCCGGGTGCAGCCTCGCTTCCTGTACCTTCTGATGGCTCTCCCTTCCTCCCCATCCAGCTCTCACAGACCACCAGAGTGGTACCAGGTCACTCCCCAGCTTAAAACCCTTCTGTGGCTCCCGGGGCCCTCGGGAGGAGAGGGAGCGGGGCAAGGGCCTCGGCTTCAGGCAGAATGGACGACCCCAGCCTTCTGGCCCCCACTGCACCGCTCACACCTTCCTGCTGAGCACACATGTGCAGTAAAGGGTTAACCGTGCCCCAAGGAGGGCTTGGCCTTTTGCCCCTGGCTCCTGGGGGCAAGCTTGATGCCCTCGAAATGTCCTGCTTGATAAGAGCATTGCTTCTCTGGGGACCCCGGGGCCACCCAGACAGTCTATGCTCATGATATGATTTATGGACAGCCAGGAGGCAGCCAGCCACGTCTCGTGACCACTGAGCTCCTATAAAATCTGGACACCAAGGCTGGGAGGGCTTCCCTGGCTGGCAACACATGTGTGTTGTCACGCGTCGTTGCTGGAAGAATGAAGTGCTGTCTGTGCGACTCCCCTGGGAGGGCACGGCTGGAACCACGCAGGTCTCTCTGGGGCCTGCCCCTGCGCCCCTCCCCTGGCCGATTGTGATCTGAGTCCTTTCGCCGCCAGAAACCATAAGCCTGAGTATGACGGCTTTTCTGATTTTTGTGAGTCCTTCTAGGAAATCATGGAACCTGAGAATGGTCTTGGGGACCTCCCAAATGATAATGTGTCCCACGGGCTTGCAACAATTTGTTGGGGCGTCTCTTTCCCTCGGTGAGCTGTGAGCTTCTCGAAGGCCAGGGCCCGGTTCACTGCCTTCTGAGGACTCAGTACCTTGATCAGTGTCTGGTACTCGGTCAATGTTGGCCGATGAACACCAAATGCGGTGCCTGGGTTTATAGCAGCTGGCCCTCACTTTGGCTTCTCTCCATCTCCCAGCAACCCTATGTGCGCTTCCTTTCATCTTGGGGAGGACAAAGCTCCTCTCTGTGTGGGAGACTTCCCTGATTCTTGGAAAGAGGAGGAGGAGAAAGAATCCTAGCTCTGTCACTTAGTTGCAGTGTGACCTTGGGCAAGTTACTTAACCTCTCTGTGCCTCACCATTTTCATCAGTAAAATGGGCATAACATCCACCAACCTGGACTTACTGTGAGGTGTGAATGTGGTCAGGTGTGTGAAAACACCCAGCCCAGGGCAGGGGCTTAGGAGGCAGGCACTCAGTGGACATTAGGGCAGATGTTAGCTCTCATTGCCTCCTCCAGGAAGCCCTCCGGAAGCCAGCAGGTGGCTAGAGCCTCCTTACCAGCACAGGTGACTCCAACGTCCTCATTGTGAGCGCAGTTGTGCTTCCCCCAGGGAGCGGCAGGGCACTGGAATAGCGACGCCTCGGTGCCCACGCACCGCACATCATCCAGCCAGATGGGGCCAGCGCCCCAGCCGAATCGGCCAGCAGCGGGGTCTGGCTGCCGAGCTCCACCGCAGCCCAGCTCCCGGCAGACTACGGCCGAGTCCCGCAGGTCCCAGCTGTCATCACACACTGTCCCCCAGCGCCCGCTGTGCCACACCTCCAGCCGGCCTGAGCACCTGCTGGGCCCAGCCACCAGGCGCAGCTGGGGGGACCCTGCAGATGGAGAGACCCAAAGCATCAGAATTGGGGCGGCTGCTAGGCTCTCTGAGTCTCCCTCCACCTTCCCTGCACCCTCCTCCCATTCATCCACCCATCGGCCAATATGGGCTTTTCCGTTCATCCATCCTTCCTTTCTGGCGGTGGGCATTTACTGAAGCCCGCGCTGTGCCCTCGTCTGCAGCAGGCACAGGGATGAAGAGAAGGACCACATGATTCAGAAATGCCACTCCTGGGGATACACCCCAAATAACGTGAACACAGGGATCCAGGCAGATACTTCACGGCAAATGTTTGCAGCAGCAGTATTCACGGTAGGCAAAGGGTGGAAACAGCCTAACCGTCCATCAGCGGATGAAGGAATAAGCAAAATGTGGTGCCCACATACGACAGAGTATTATTCAGCCTTAAAAAGGAAGGAATTCTGACACGGACTACAACATGGATAAAGTTGGAAAACATTAGGCTCAGTGAAAGAAGCGAAACACAAAATCACCAACACTGTATGATTCCACTTCTGTGAGGGACCTGGACAAGTCAGATGCACAGAGACAGAACGCAGGAGGGCGGTGCCAGGGGCTGGGGGTGGGGAGAGTGTTTAATGGGTCTGGGGATATGTCTGGGATGATGGAAAAGTTCTGGAGACGGACGGTGGTGATGCTTGCACAATAATGCACACGTTCTTATACCACTCAACGGTACACTTAAAATGGTTAAAACGATCAACGTATATTTTACCACAAGAAAAAAAAAAATCACGTGGGCTCTGGAACAAATTGCCTTTGCTCGAGTCCTGGCTTTTGCATTTTGTGGCTGTGCAGCCTCATTTGTAACATGGAGACCAGACAGTCCCTGCGGGTAAGTGGAGGGAGCGCTACCCAAGGAGGACACGTGGAGGGCTTGGAACAGCACTGGTCACACGGAGCCAGCTGCCGAGTAAATGGTGGCTGTTCTGTTATTACTATCATTATGATGCAGGAAAAGGGGAGAGAGGCCTCCAGGAACAGTGAGCAAGTTCCTACTGTTTTCGGCCTTTTCCAACTTTGAGGAGCCAGCTGTATCAATGATGCCTTTTTGTTTTCCGTATTTCTGATGCTTTGACATCTTGGGGCCTTGCTGACCCTGCAGGGACTGCCCCTCCCAGGGTTTGCTAATTCCTAGAGATGGGAAACTCCTGGAGCGTGCCTTTCATCTGCAAACCAGCCAATCCAGAGCCCACGGAAATGATTCAAACCAGCCGGTCCTAAGCCTGCCGCCCTGCCTTGCCCGTGCCTCCCCGCAGAAACCACAATCACAGCTCCAGCCCACGCTTTCCCCTCGCTCCCTCTGCCTCCCGACCGGCTCTGGTGCTTCCCTGTGTGGCCCTGCGTCATGTGGCGTGCTGTGCCCCCTCCTCTCGGGGACTGTGAGAAACCAACTATCTTTCCAATGGCAGTCGTCTCCTGACCTGTCGGCCACACCACGCTCAAATAATAATAAAGCCCATATTCTAAGGCAACAGCCACCGTTGATCCAGTCCTTTCAGTATTTGTGAGAAGAAGGCAGCCTTCAAAACTTATCATACATTTCAAGACGGTGCCATAGAGCATTAAACTGAGCACAGCTCTTCTGAGCCTGGGGCTTGGTGCTCCCATCCTCCACCCTTCTCTTTGCCCCCAATGAGACGGTGTCTGAGCAGGGAGAAAGGATACCTGGGGGCTGACTTCGGGGAGGAAACAGAAGCTAAGACCCTATTTTCTTGGGGAGCAGAAGGGACTCACCAGCTTCAGGCCCAGGCTCCTGAGGGGCAGTGGGGGAGGCAGGCGGAGGTGGAACGCCTGCTGTCCGCGGGGCCTGGCTCACCACAGGGGGTGGGGGCCCGGACACCACCTTCCTGGGCATCGAGCTGTTGCCGTCCACGGCAGGGGCCGTGGGAGGGACATAGCCGAGAGGCATACCTGCGGCAGGGGAAGAGATGATCACCGCCCACTGCTGAGCAGCCGGGTGGCTCCTGCTCTCTCTATCCCAGAAACCTGACGTAGGATGAGGTTTCGCGGAGGAGGACAAGCTGGGGCAAGGGGGCGGTCTGGATGGAGGGGTGCATGTGGGGCATCCATTAGGAAAATACACAGCCCACAGCCCCCTACTTTCTGCCCCCCCCACTCCAGGGCTGCACCACAGCCACATCCCCAGCCTCTCCCTCCCCCACCCCCGTGTCCCCCTCACCGTCACACACGGCCCCCGCGTCCTCTCGGTGATGGCAGTCATGCTGGCCCCAGGGCCGTGCCGGGCAGAATCGCAAGGCTGTCTCGTTCCCCCGACACCGAAGGTCGTCCAGGAGGATGGGTCCAGCCCCCTCCCCAAAAAAGGCACCTCCGGGGGCGGCCAGCGCCCCCCCGCAGCCCAGCTCCCGGCAGGCCACGGCAGCATCACGCAGGTCCCAGGCATCGTCACACACAGACCCCCAGCGCCCCCCGTGCCACACCTCCAGGCGGCCAGCACACCCATGGGGGCCGTCAGCCAGGCGCAGCCGGGGGGCCGGGCCTGGACGGGGAGAGAGGGAGAAGAGAAAGACAGAAAAGTGTGCTGGATGAGCGGGGACAAGCTGTGCACAGGCACAAGACAATGATGGAAAGCAGCTATTCCATCTCCAGTTGTAAATGAGAGAAAGGCTCTGAGCCTGGAAGCCAGTCACCAAGAGACCCACAGGCCCAGCCACCCCACCATGTCGCTGCCTCCCCAGGGCCAGGCCCTGGGAACCCTGGCCCTCAGCCCTCCATCCACCACCCAGGCCTGGCGCCCCAGCTCGGCTTCCCACTGCCCGCTGCCTTCTCTGGTCCTGTAAAGCAGGGCTTGTCAACCTCAGCACCACTGACATCTGGGGACAGATCATTCTTTGCTGGAGGGGCCGTCCTGTGCTCTGTGTGATGTCCAGCAGCATTCCTGGGCTCGACCCCAGGTGCCAGGAGCACCCACAGTTGTGACAACCAGAAATGTCTTCAGACATTGCCCAACATCCCCTGGGGGCTGGGGAGTGGGAAAATCACCCGCCGTGGAGAACCACTAATCTAGATATTAACCGCTTTGGTTATAGGGCGCATTTCTGTCAGGTCTTTCTGGGGTAACAGCTGGGTCACCATTGCAGAGTCCCTCTGTCTATCCCCTCAGGGTAGGCTGGGACAAAACAACCCCTATCGCTGCCCTGGAGAAATGACCAGACCAGAGAGGGGCCAACACCGAGTGTCCTCAGGCCCCTCAATGGGGTTCGCTTCTCCCTGAGACTTAACCCTCTCTGGAGGCTAGACTCACCTCCCATGAACTGGTCTCCACATGCCTTCCACGCCACGGCACACGGAGGGGGCCCCCCTCACTGCCCCCAGTCCACCGCTCTGCACCCAGCCTGCATCCTGCTGGTCTCCATCCCCCCACGCCCAAGGCTTCAGAGGCCAGGGGGCCCTGCCGAGCTGTGTGCAGTGGACAGACCCGGCGGTCAAGTTCCAGGTCCAAACTGCTAGGCCTAGGACCTCGGATCAGCTGCTTAACCTCTCTGGGCCTCCTTTCTGCAGCTGTGAAGAAAGGGGCGAAACCAGCACCCCACGAGGCCGTCCAGGCGGGCATGAGGCTCAGAGATCACCCAGCCCGGGGGAAGCACCCAGCACGAGACTTAGCACAGAGTAGGGACGCAGGTGGACGCTGTCTTCCTCTTCCCCCTTTGCGTCCACTGACTGAAGCATTTCCTGCCCCTGCCTGGGGGTGGGGGGCGGAGGGCACCCTCTATCTCCCTGCAGCCCCTGGACTTCCCCACCCACACCTGGGGGCCACCACTGTAGCTACCCTGTGCCAGGTGCGTCCTGCAGCTCAGCGACAGGATGTCCACGAGAGTGAGGACTGGCTCTCTCGGTGACAACCCGCCAGGCTGGGATGGTGCTTAATGAACATCTGTGGAAGGATGGAGGGAAAGAGCAAAGGAAGGAGAGAAGGGGGGAAGGGAGGAAAGAAGGAAAGAGAAGGGGCGATTGGAGAGCTCCATGAAGCCGGGGTTGTGACCTGCAGGTGAGGAGGGCAGACCTGGCCAAGCCCTGTGCAGCTTCCCGGACAGGTGTGGGAAGGCAGGAGGACATACCAGTGCAGACCAGCCCTGCGTCCTCGCTGTGGTCACAGTTGCTCCGACCCCAGGGGCTTCGGGGACAGTCCCGCAAGGCCTGCTCTCCGCCTCCGCATCCTACATCATCCATCCACACAGGCCCGGAGCCTGGGCCGAATCTCGCCCCTCCAGGGGCGGCCAGCGCCCCCCCACAGCCCAGCTCCCGGCAGGCCACAGCGGCATCACGCAGGTCCCATCCGTCGTCGCACACGGTTCCCCAGCGCCCGCCGTGCCACACCTCCAGCCGGCCCGAGCACCCGTGGGGGCCGGAGACCAGGCGTAGCCGCTCTGAGGGGACAGGCAGCGAGGGAGGGGGACAGTGAGTGGCCTTGTATGAGGCAGCTGTGGATGAGTGGATTCAAATACCCCTCACCTTCCATCTGGGGAAACTGAGGCCTGGAGGGGGCGGTGGCCAAGATCTGCCTGCCAGCCCTGTCGTTAATGGGAGAGCCTAGAACTGAGTGGGGCAGGGTGCCTGGGTCCGGGGAGCAGAAAATGGGGTCCCCTCACTGAGTGAGGCTAGGGGAGAAGCCAGGGAGCCCGGACCTGACTTTCTGACACCATGAGGGATGGGACGCTCGCTGGAGCCCTGCCAGGGCCACAGGTTAAGAGGAGGGCACCCGGGGGGTCCGCAGTTTGGGCCAGACTGGGCCTAGGGGCTCGCCCTGTGCTGATCTGTAGAGAGGAGCCTTCAGGGGACTCACCCTGGCGGGGGGCTCCGGCCGTCAGCAAAGGGGCCCTGGTGGACTTGGCCTGCTTAGGCGGCCGGGGGCTCTTCTTCCGGGAGCTGTTCTGGGGGTTCCCGGCTGGGCGAGGGGCTGGGAGAGGAGACACCAGGGAGGGAGGTTGGGAGCTGCTCACCCTTCCTCCCACCTGGGGGGACAGGCCGTGCTTCCGAAGGGGTTTTGAAGGGGACCCTTGGGACTGTGGAGGAGAGCAGGCACCTGTCCGTCTGCTGGGGGGTCTCCATGAAGAAGGCCCCTCCCCGCACCTCTGAAACAAGAAGGAGGGAACCAGGCAGGGTGGGCTCACCGTGGGTCACGGGAGGCTCCTCAGAGCCCGGGCTCAGCTCCCCAGACAGCCCCAGCAAGGAGTGCCCATCCAGGACCGAAGGTGACTCATCTCTGTCCCTTGCGTTGGCCACACGCTGACCTGCAAGAGAGCACAGCGCGATGGAGGGGGTGGGCCCTGGGAGAGAGGCAGGGGCTGGGACCCCCACACGCTAAGCTGCGGGTCCTGGAGGGAGACACCTGGCTTTGGAGGGGGTGTCAGGGATTGGGGGTGCCGGGACATCTGGACCCTCAGAGATCCTGGGCTGAGCACCAGCAGGTCCCCTCACCTGCACAGACGACGCCGGCGTCCTCCTCGTGGGAGCAGATGTGGGCCTTCCAGCCCCGGTGGGGGCAGAGGCCCAGCTGCCCCTCGCTGCCCCGGCAGGCCAGCTCGCTCAGCCACACGGGCCCCACGCCCTCCCCGAAGAAGGCACCTCCAGGGGCGGCCAGCGCCCCCCCACAGCCCAGCTCCCGGCAGGCCACAGCGGCGTCACGCAGGTCCCATCCGTCGTCGCACACGGTCCCCCAGCGCCCGCCGTGCCACACCTCCAGCCGGCCAGCACACCCATGGGGGCCGTCCGCCAGACGCAGCCGCTCTGGGGGGACGGAGGAAAGGCTGTGACATCCCAGAGGCCCGGGGGCCAGAGGGAAGGCAGGGGCCGGGGGCTGTCCTGCAGGATGTGACCGGGAGGCCAGCTGTCCTGGCCATTGGTGGGGACCTCAACTCGAGGAGAGCAGTGGTGAGAGACACGGGCCCCAGTGGGAAGCAGGAGATTGGCCGCCCAGTGGTTCTGGGAGGAGCAGCGCCCGAGGTCACAGCCGGATGAGGTGGTGGCCAGAGTCCCAGCAGAGGGCGAGGCCGGGCACAGGACCGGGAGTGTTCGGGGCCACTTACCAACAGCCTGGATCCCCATCAGAGCCGCTGGAAGGGAGGTTGGAGGGGTGGGACAGAGTGAGGGGCAGGCCCAAGGGGGTCCTTTCTCCAGCACAGGCCCCTTGTCTTGAATACCCCAATACACACACACACAGAATCCTCACACCTCTGAACCAGAAACCCCACCGCTGGGAAGCAGGAATCCGGGCCGAGGACAGGCAATATTCAGGCCCCTGAGACGGGTGGGGCCCCAAATGCCTCAAGTCAGGACGGGGCGGGGGCAGGGGGGCCAGGCCCTTGGTGCTCCCCGGGGGCCTGGCTAAAAGTCAAATGGTGGGTGACTCTCCACAGGTTCAAGGCTGGTGGTAGGGGGTGGGCAAGTCCTGCGGCTCTTAAAAGCGTGGGACTGGGCATGCAGGAGGCTGGGTCCCTGGGGGATCAGGCAGGGAGGGCCAGATGTCCCGTATCCAAGCGCCAGAGATGGGGCCCGGGAAGTCTGAGTCCCTCAAATGGATGAGCTCAGGGGTCAGAGAGTGGGGCCCAGGCCCCTGAGTCCCCAAGGAGAAGGGGTCACTCACCGAGGATGCAGGCCAAGACCCTCATGTTTGCAGAGTCGGGGCAGGGATGGGGTGAAAGGGGACTGGAGCAGGAGAGGGGAGGAGGCGGCGGCCACCGGAGGAGGGAGGGAGGGCGGGAGGGAAGCGCCTGCCGGAGGCGCCCTGGACCCGGGGAGGAGCAGGCAGGGGCTGGACGCTTTGCCAGGAGGAAGAGAGGCTGCTGAGGAGGCGGCAGGGGACAGGAGGGGGGGCGGGGAGGGGGCTGGCCGGCGGCTGAGGCCTGGGGAGGAGGGGGGTGGCGGGCAGGAGGGAGGGTGTCCAACTGCAAACACCCACACGGGAGGCGGCCAGTCACGCTGCTGAGCTTAGAGATGCATGGGGGACGGCGGGCTGCAGGGAAGTGACCAGACAGGGGTGCGAGTGGGGGAATAGCAGGGGCAGGCACCCACCCATCTGCCTCCTCCTGTGTCCAGCCAGGGAAGCATGGGGGGACCAAGGTAGAGGGAATCAAATGTGGATTCAAATTAGCTGCTGGGGTTGGGGACCTTGTACCTCTGGGGCTAACAGTGCAGCAAGACAGCTTGCAGCCAGACACCAGGAAGGACTTCCCAGATCAGGACAGGAGACTAAGAAACCCCTCTCCATTCTCCCTGGTGGATTTATATGCTATCCCCAGCTCTCCATCTGAGAGAGGAGTGGTTGAACTTATGTGTCCCCAAGGGAACTGGAGCAGGGGGATGGGAGGACCAAGGATTGAGGCTTAGGTGGGGGAGGGGGGACTCTACATACACACACTCATACACACACTCATACACACGCACCGTCACACTCTCTCTGCACCAGGCAGCTGTTAGGCGGAAAAAATTTGGTAATGGGGAGCGTGAGTCAGACGGCTGGCAGGGAGCGGGCTGCCTGCCGTGAGCTCATCGCCTCCCTCATCCCAGGCCAGCAGCCCCACCAACAATTAATGTCAAGTCGGGGAAAGGAGGGGCCAGACAGAAGGGGCGTTCTGAGACGACTGGAAAAGGCATCAGAGAGAGGGAGACGGCGCACAGCAGTCCGGGCTTTATTAACAAAAGGGTGTAAAAAACCAGATGGGTCTGGCCGCCCCTCTCAGCTGTCACCTTCCCTGGGAGGGGCCAGCAGGCAGCCCTGTGCCTGTCCCCTCCTCCTTGGGTGCTCTCCTGGGGCAGACAACCCTCCCCCGCAAAGGCTCAGCTCATCCCCTCCAAGCACAGGTATCAAACCCCACCCCATTTCCGGGGGGCCTGTCCCCGTTTGGGGTGTCCCCACCCCAAGTCCTAACCCTTGGGGGGTGGCTCGCTGGGCCTCATCTCCTCCACCCATCTCTCTCCCAGGCCCATACACAAACAGCACAGGCTTTGCAGACAGAAAGACCGGGGAGATTTCTCAGTGCAGACAGAATCTGAGGCAGGGGATTACACAGGTTTAGCTCTCTGAGAAGTTCAAACACTACAGACAGACGTCAGGCTGTGGTGGGGTCTGCAGCCCTCAGCAGGCCTGTTTCCAGGCCCTGGGTAGGCTGGGGTTCACGGAGGGAGGATGCGAATGTGCCTGCACACAGTGGGTGCTCACTAAGTGCTGGTTTCCCTCCCTCCCTGGTGCAGGTCTGGAGTCACAGGTCCTTGCTGAACTCCCTCACCAGCGTGTAGCCCATGCAGCCCCAGCTCCCCTCGGCCTGGTAGCCGCAGCCCTCCAGCATCCCCGCCACGCCCCAGGCTGCCACAGCCACCGGGACCACGAGCCGAGCCCGGGGCTCCCCCATGCCCCCCGCCCAGGCTCGTGCCCGGGATTCGGCAAAGGCCAGCAGCCGCCTGCCCACACCTCGGCGGCGGTGCCAGCGGGAGACAGAGAGGCGGGTGACCCGGGCCCCATCCCCAGCATTGGAGCCCGGGGCCAGGGCCAGGACCCCGCACACGTCACCGGAGCCGCGCACTGCCACCCAGGGGCCCCCTAGACCGCCTGGCGGAGGCAGCGAGCCCCACCGGGCCCGCAGGCCCAGCTTCATGGCGGCCACAGCCAGGAACACGGGCAGGAGGAGGGCCAGGGCGAAGGAGGCCAGGACGAAGCGCAGGCCGCTGCTGGCCGCCGCCAGGAGGAGCAGGGCCGGCGGCCGCGTCAGCGCATGAAGGGCCACTCGGTTCTCCGTGTCCTTCACACCAGCCTGTGGGCAAGCAGGGTGGTCAGAGTCGGGAAGCTTGGCCTTCTGTCCCACTAGGAACCCCCCGGGGACCAGGAGAGGGGACAGACCCTGCCAGGGAGGAATCCAGGGTGGGAGCTCCCAAAGGTTAAGGGAAGAAGTTGGCGTGTGGTCAGCTCCACAACCCTCCAGCTGCTAACACCCTTCCTGAGCCCCAGGGGTAGGGAGACGGCGCTAGAGGAAGAAGGGGCCAAGCCAGCAAATCGCTTAGGAGGAGGGGATCACTCTCCAGGGGTACTGGCTGGCTCAGGCAGGTGGCTGAAGCCACTCACACTGCCGTCCCCCTCCCCCAGGCTCAGGGTCCCCTGCCGGCTCTCACCTTCAGCATCTCCAGCACCACAGGTTTCTCATCTTCCCTCATCTCCCGCACAGACAGGTGACTGGGGGCCATGACAGCCCCCAGGCACCCACGCCCCCAGAAAGTAGCAGGTGTGCACCTGGTGAAAACAAGCAGGTCAGCGTCAGAGGGGCACCTCTTGTCCCCAAAGAGCCCCAGGGGTCCCAAATAACAGCAGCATGTCCCAAATAGGACACTGAGAAGGCTAGGGATCCCCAAGGGAGGTCCGAGGCAGCATTGGCTTCCCTCCACCCGGTGACCTTTCCAAAGTGTCCAGGGATCCCCCGCCCCCCCGCGCCCCGTGGTGTGCAGCGATCTACCCCTAAACGCCCTGTGAACGCTGACACCTTGCAACCCGGGGCTCCCTCCCAGGCCCTGGGGCTGCCCCGGGGGGGGTCGGCGAAACCCCCCCAAAGCCGCGGAATAGGCCGCGCGCCCCCCCCTCAGTGCCCAGCGACCCTCCCCCCACAGTCGCCTCGACCCGCGTCGCAGGAGCAAGGACCCGCAAGCACCTCTGCGGGTCGCTTCGACCCTTCGACACCGTGTAGAGGGGAGCAGGGTCGGGAAGGGGTCGCCGGCGGAAGTGACGTCAGAGCGCGCACGAAGTGGGGCGGGGCGGTGCCTGCACAAGGCCTTAGCAACGATTGCCAAGCTCCCGGTGGGAGTCAGGGGAGGCCTGGGGTGGGCTGGGAGGGGCAGGGAGCAGCGACCCTGCCGGAGGTGGGGTAGGGGAGAAAGAGCAAGGGAGAAAGGGGGCCTCTGGGAAGACGGGAGCAGACGCTGAGGCGGGAGGGGATGGGGGCGGCGGGACCCGGCGGTGGGACCCGGCGGAGGGGGGGGGGGGGGGGGGGGGG